TTATTTGTGGGATCTTAGTGCTGTTTTTACCTGAGACAAAGGGAATTTCCTTACCAGAGACAGTGGAGGATGTGGAACAGCTTTCCAGGTACTGTCTTTCCTTCAATATTACATTGATGTGATTTTCTGAGCAAGGGGCAGGGAATTGTACATTTTTACTGAAAATAAATTGGACAGTGCTACAGCTTAGAAATATAACTCTTTTCTTTTCTCCCTCTGTTACTTCAGTCTCCAAAGTAAAAGTGGCAGGAAAAAGAAGCATCAAGATACCTCCTATATATGATCTTTCACTAAAAGCACTGAGCAAAACATCCCTGTTCTCACACCAGGAATTTGGTTTCCTCCTGATAACTGCTTTAAAGTCCTCTGGATTGAGCTGTGTCACAAAAGACACCTCCAAGTACTTCTTTTAGGAATGAAGATGTTCTAAATAAGCGTTGTATTTTTATATAGCTACAGAATAAATACATATTTTCTGAGTCCATTGTTTCCAGGAAGGGAGCGTTGTGTGGTTCTTGTTAGAGAATACCCACTTAAATCAGCTGCTTTGCCTGGCCCAGTAAGCTCTTACTTATTTGTATATGTTTGGGTCATTTGTTCATCCTTGATATTACAATAATTTGGGGAAATTGTGGTTTAAAATTGTGATGGTTTGGGGTGGGGGAAGCAGAATTAGAGTAGTTTTGTGCCCCACCGCACGATAAAGCCTCTGAAAAATCAGAAAAGCAAATGAGGAATTGCTTAGGGAACCAGGGAACTGATGACATTGAGGCTGGAGAGAGTGGGAGCCTCATTTCTAATGTGTAGGTGTCAACAGGATATTCTTAATGTTTGGGACGGATTGCAGAGTTGGTGAAGGGACTATAGGATAGAGTTTCTAAATTTAGCAGGCACCACATTGTGGTTGAACAATTAATGCTCCAAACTGACCATCTCAAAAGCCTGGCATGGAGGAGCAATTATTTGTAAGATGGGGTTTCAAGAAACCATAGGGGGAAATAACCAATATACAAGGTGCTTCCTTCATTACTGCAACTTGGTGAGCTATATACAGTACATCAACACTTCCTAACTCTTCCCAGCCCATTCCACCCAACTGCCATGTCTGCTTAAGGAAAATAGGAACCATGCTAGTAATAAAATACATGCATGCTTGGAATAGGCAACAGAAGGAGAGACCATGGGACGCAGAAGACCAGCAGAACTACTTTTCAATAAGAATTTCTCCTGACACGTAGTCAAATGACAATAAGACATTTGGCAAAACTCCCTACAGACTAAAAGGAATGGAGCCAAATGTGCACCTCTGTTAAACTATCTGGTTAGATGCTTTGTAATGCCAAATTAGAACACATTGTATTTTGATGCTGTCCCTGAGAGACAATTGTTCTTATGCTACTAAGAGATGCCAGGATTACCTGATCAAATAGACATTCTCCTAAATGGATAATGGACTTATTTTAACCTTTCTTGTTTATTTAATGTTTTTCTCTAGTCTTAAAGTACCTCGATATAAGAGCTCCCTGAGTTCTGCAGTGGTGTCTGTGGTTTGCAGAGGAATCCGTGGGTAATTTTAATTACATTGGTTATAAGCAGAATTGCTTGACGTTTTCTGTGGCAGAGGGAAGTTTGTGTTGTATTGGTCAACTGCCTGCAGTAGCACTTTGTTATCGCTTGATGTGTGATTGAGAACTTAAGGCATGAGAACTTATTTTTCAGGCCTTTCTAATTGCACAACTCTACCCCGATATAACACGAATTCGGATATAATGCGGTAACGCAGCGCTCCGGGGGGAGCGGGGCTGTGCACTCCGGTGGAGCAAAGCAAGTTCAATATAACGCGGTTTCACCTATAACACAGTAAGATTTTTTGGCTCCCGAGGACAGCGTTCTATCGGGGTAGAGGTGTCCTTTGCTCAGAGTGGCATTCTGTATTGTCCAGAATAAAATGTAGACCATGTATGTCAGTATTTAAAATAACGGAATGCCTGCATACTCCCTGTTAGGAATTTAAGGTCTTTTTAAGCTTACAATTTTATGTGTGTGGATCAGAGAGACAAGGTGGGTGAGGGAATATCTTTTATTGGACCAACTTCTGTTGGTGAGAGAGACAAGCTTCTGAGCAACACAGAGCTCTACTTCAGGTCTGGGAAACTAACTTAAAATGTTGCTGCTAAATAAGTCAGGCATGTATCTGTCGATGCCGTCTGACTCTTTAATATGATACTATTTTAATAATAACCTGGGTTATATTTTCAGGTTAAATATGTACATTATACAGGAAAGAGGAAACTTGTGCTAATGTTCACTGATAAGCAGATGGAGAAGTAAAATCTCAGTCCCTGTGAGAGTTTCTCCATATTAATTGTAGCACATTATACAGTGATCTGTTATAATACCCAGAAATGCCAAAATCCCTTTGGTGACCTTAATTAGGTTCCATTCTCTTTGTTTTACACAGTCTTTTGGCTTGTTTTATTAATATTTTGGTAGAAGGAGAGGGATGAGATGGTGGAGGTACATTGAGGTCTAAAGTGTGGAACTTCCCCCCCCCCACACACACAGTGGGAAATAGCACTTATGGACCAATAATTATGCTGCTTATAAAAATAATTCTTTTAATTGCAAAGTCACATCTGCTTTTAAGTCTAAATGTCAATGAGTTAATCATTTCTGAGCCTTATGGGAGAGTCCTACAAATTTCTCTAGCAGGGATATAATTCTCTATTAAAGTCTACAGGTGAATGTTAAAAATTCTATCGAGGAGATCACCCTCTAGGATTCATCCCTATTAATTTGTACAGGACTTTTCTATGAGAAGAAAAAAGGGAACATTTTATCAGTCTTCTAGGCAGTACTTCCAATGTTTGCTCCGACACTTTCTCAACATTTTTGAGCCAGCAGAAGGAATAAGTGAAGACATGGTATACCCAACCATATGCCCTCCAAACTGAGCACCAGTTAAGGAATGATTCAAGAAACACATTTAGGGCCTGCTTCAGAGAGGTGCTGGGTGCCCTCAATACTCATTGCAGTCAGCAAGAGGCAAGGAGCTCTAATACCCTTAGGACTGGACAGTTAAGATGTGATTTCATTTATCATGGAGTTTCTTACATATCACCTTTTAGTGCCTTGATATCAAGTGTGATCTGTTTAAAAGTCAAAGGGTGAATTTTCCAACTGTCAGTACGGTATACTCAACATGGGATATGGAAATCAAGGACTGTATTCTGACTGCCACTTACACTATCACTAGGAATACAGATTTTGTCATCAGAATTTAGCAGACAGGGCTGCTGAACAGGAGGCACAATAGAAATCAGGTCATTCTTCCATGGTTGTATTGACTCTGTGAGGGGTTAACAGGAGCAAACATTTGGTTTTGTTAAAGTAAGCAGACTTGACTAAAAAAAAAAAAACAAAAAAACCTCCACAGGAAGCAGATTTTCTGGATCAAAATCATTTTAAAGTCCTGAAGTGAGGGGTCTCCTGTAAAACTCACAGATGAAGAGTGTGGTGATGACCGTTTTATGTAATGGCTGACAGAGATGGGTGGCTAGTTCAGTCAAGCCCAGTGTGATCATTATGAAGCCCATTGTGGAAATTATTTCCAGGGATACGGCTGGAAGGTGAAGTACTGGGTTTACTGACAGTAGTAGCCAGACAGTATGATGGTCTTCATATGGGCGGCACGTCAGACCTTGTCACAAGAACAATCACATTTCTGACGTGGTCTGGGAGGCAGAGATGTCTATGGAATGAACTATTGAAGAATCAAGGTGCAAATTCATATCACAAATTAAATGTAAAAATCGTACTGTGGGAGCAGAAAGTCTTTCTAAAATGTTTGAGGTTTGGTAGTTTATTATGATATGGAACAAAGAACAGATGACTGGCATCTGAAAATGTATAACAATCTCTGTGGCGGGTAGGCACTCAATCTTATTTGTTTCTCTTTTTCCTTCCCTCTGTTGGATTTCATGAGGAAAGCTGTTCTTGTAGCACCATGAGGTATTAGCTGTGGCTTAATGTGTGATGCTTTATGGACAGAACTCTCATTAGCAATAATCACACAAGGGTGTAAATCCTTCTCTATCAGGAAGAGAAAATATACAACTAAAGCTTGTATAGTGAGGCAAGACTGGTACTGAGGCTCTTATGCCATTTTATTATGTGCCATTATGGGCCGTCATTCACTGCTGTAAAGACTTGCATCACTAGCTGCTTCTGTCTTCACCACGGACTAGCTGGAGTGGAAGGTCTACTTACTATTCAGCATCTTATGTTCCCGACACTACATTCATACCTTTGTGCTGATACAGAAGTGTCCATAACAATAAAAACTGCATTTACAAAAAAATGAGTTTCTCCTCTCTCCTGCCAGATGTATAGAACACCACAGGAAAATGATGCATAAGCTGACATACTCACGGGGCATCTGAAATACAAGGGGTCTCCTCTGTCTTCCCTACCACCTGGCTGCTATGAGGGTAGGTAGTCTCTCCTTTCTCTTGACCCCCACCCCCAGGAGGGATGAATTTTCCCCATTTTCTGGCTCACAGATAGTGTATGGTGAGGGTATTTCTCCTTCTCCCTGCTGCACCCTTCTGGCTTTTGGTGAGAGTGAAAGAGAATTCCAGTGGCTTTTTTCTTTCTTCCCCTTCCTGTGTAGAGGGTGGAGGAAAGTAAAGCCTCCCTAGCACCAGGGAGTTGGCTGAGGACTCCCCCTGCTTTCTGACATGTATGGGGCAGAGGGTAGGGAGTATCAGACAGCGAATGTATCATACTCTTGAACTCTATTAGAGCCACTTGCTGTCGCCCTGAAGAACCACATGCAGTCCAAGATCCATAGATAGAGGACCACTGCTTTACACCGCTCAGTTGGGTGCAACTAGTGTCCTGTTAGAGGCTAGGAAAAGTAAACTATTGTCACTAGTTACTGCAGTTCAAGAGTAGTTCTATTAATATCCTGAGAGCACAAAAACAGAAGGGAAAGTAAACACTTTGTGAACAATTTATTTATTTTATTGCTCTTGTACCATATCAAGGATTAAAGTATTTGGGTCCAGTTATGGAAAAGAGGGAATAGGATATTTTTCAACAAGTACCTCACAAACGTGTGTTCATTGTAGAATATAAAATACACCAAAGGAGGCTAACAGTCAGTTTGGTTTCTTGGCAATGACTGTTAATTTACAGTAACTTACAATAGATGACAATATTTATTTCAGATTCTTGTAAATAATTTTGATTTTAACACTATATTTGGAATCCCACGTCTCTACTTTGTGCATTGCCTTCCAGGAAGGATCAGTGAATCCCCAGGCCTCAGCCGGTACTCATTACCCTCTCAATCCAACCAACAAACCTAGAAACTCGGGCATAAACACCAGGCTTCATGGCCTCTGCACAGCCCAGACCCCAAGAGGTGACGCCATGAACGAAGAATTTTTCTTGCTCAATACATATTAGGGGTCCTCCACTGTCACCCTACAAAGAAGAAGAAAGAGGGTTGCTACCTTATTGAGAGCACAATATGCAAACAGTAACATGCGGGTCAGAGGCACAGAAGGGGAAATATCTCCACAGCCAAGTATATGGTCATAAGAAAACACTTCAGCTGGGTCCAGGGAGCTATGCTTTCCCTGCCTGCATGTTGGGTTTTTTTGCAGTGGTGCCAATTAAGGGACCTGGTGGGGTGTGAATGTCCCCTGTGTGGCCCCAAGATTTTTGGTCAAAGTTCCATACGCCGTGAAGATCGTTACCTCGTCACTTTTAAGCAGCAGTCATAATAAATCATGGCTGTTGCACCACTTCAGCTGAGTGGGTGTAATGCCACTGAAATTTGGCCCACCCCACCCCTCCGTCCGGATGGAGGGGTGGCCAGGCCAAATGGTGTTGCGACCTGGTGCATAGGGAGTCTGTTTCTGTACAGTGGAGTGCAGGGGAGTCCACAGAGAATTCGACTCCTGGCAGCACCAGCTCATGTAGGAGAGGGGAGACTAGTGGTACAAGTAGAATTTATTTCTTACTGGTATGCTGCACCAGCTAAAGGGGGGAAGGGGCATGTATCTCCTCAATTGACCCTACCCTGCCCCCAGCCTGGGCCCCATGCTCTCCCCCTCCGCTCCCCTCCCCATGATCCATTGAGGGGGGGCTCTGTCCTCCTCCCGCTGTGCTGGAGACTTCTCCGGAACCACACCGGTGAAAGGAGCAGAATGTGGGGCTGCCCAGCGGTCCCACATCAGCAGCTCCTCCGGCACGGCTGCAGGTAGGGTTGTCAATTGACCCTACCCTGCCCCCAGCCTTTCCACGCAGCTGCGTCGCCTGAGTCCTGTCCGGGGTCTGTACAGCAGCCCCGCCAGAGGACAGAGCTGCGGGGGTGAGGCTAAGGGCAATAGAGCTGCGCCGGAGGAGCTGCCGGCGTGGGCTTCTGCTCCTTTCGCCGCTGCGGTTCCTGGGAGAGTCCTGAACTGTAGGGCTCTCCTGGGAACTGCAGCGGTGAAAGGATCAGACCGTCGGGCGGCCCCACACCAGCAACTCCTCCAGTGCAGCTGTACCGCCCTGAGCCCCGCCTCCACCCCTGTCCTCCGGCGAGGCTACTGTACAGACCCCAGACAGGAGACGCAGGGACACAGCTCTGTGGAAGGGCTGGGGGCGATACAGCCGCACTGGAGGAGCTGCTGGCGTGGGGCTGCCCCATGTTCTGCTCCTCCTGTGTCTTTCCAGTACGGCGTACCGGCTATAAATAGCTTACTGGTATGGCGTACTGGACCATCCTGCCCTACTTGCACCACTGGGGGCGACTCCCCAGCCGAGGGTGACCTGGGGTCCCTGCTGGGGAGAGGCATGAGCAGGCACCAGAACAGGGTCGCTGCGGGGGGTGGGCAGGGACTGGAATTCACACACACACACACACACACCCCTGAAATATCTGAATTGACAATATTGCTTTTCTGTAAAGCTGCATCTTATCGACAGTACTCAAGACAGCCAGGCATGAAACATATTTGTAGAATCAGAGAATGATGTCAAGGGGCATTTGACTGCACAGTTAACCCTGTTCTTCCGCCATTGAATTCCTCTCTCTCCCACCCCCACTTCCTTCCTTCAGAACATCCCATCAGTTCTCCTACTCCTCGCCCGCTGAAGCCTTGGCTCTTCAAGTGGGGTGGCACTACTACTGTTGCTACCAATGCCTGTGAGAGAGCTGACTCCTCTTCCTTCTTACTCCCAATTCCTCCTACACAGTGAGACCCACACACACCAAGTGGGAGCTGGGGGAGAAGCAGAGGGCAGTGAGCGTAGTAAATAAACTGGTCAGGGAAGAGAAAGGAACCTTAGCAGCTACCCTCTCACTAACCCAGCTGGCAAAGAGAGCATCTCCGCTGAGTGAGTGGGGGGATCAAAGGATTTAAAAAAAACTTTTGGCAGCTGGCCGGAAAAGCAGGAGGCAGCACTGGAAAGCTAGGGCGCAAGAGAACAGATCTGAGCGTCTGTCCAAATTCTAGACATTCAGTAGCTTCTTCACACCCTCTGTCCCACCTGGTCACAAATTTACTGCCTGTAAATATCAGAACCTTGATTCAAGTGCATATGCCCATTGGGTGACAGGCACATCACGGAGATTTCTGCATGACCAGGAAATACCATTAACATTGCTGGTGCAGGAGGCCTGCTCAGGCAGGTTCATATTTACTTTCAGCCTTCTTTACCAAGGAGTCCCAGCTTTTCAATGAGGAAAGCTCCCAGCTTGATCCCTTTATTCAGCTAGGATAAGGAGCATTTCTAAAGTCCTTTCACATATTCAAGAAAATCAGAAAACTGGAAACACTTCAGTCCTAATCCTTTGGACTAAAAAAAAATGCCTTTCTACACTTACGAACATTCACCACTAACACGCTTTCCCCTAACAAGAGAAGGGTCTAAGGAATACAGCATGGAATACATACACACAGGGTCAACTGTAGATTTTCACACCTACTCACTGCTTGGGATGAGGGGGACAATCTAGCTATGAATTATCTCCAGCTCTGGTTGTACCAATGGAAGAAGGAGCGAGGGAGAACTAGATTCTATATGTATTTTCAGCTCTTCACTTCAAGAGGGTACTGAGCCATGAGTTGCTGAGGCTAATACTGTGCCCCTAAAGGACAGAGCCCCAAGTGTCATTTGTCTTGTTTATGCTTAAAGCCAGTTTTGATGTCACCAGTCTTTTCTTACCTGGCAGCTGTCAGTACCACCATCAATATTCCCAGCACAGATCTCATGGTTTCTAACTCTTCCATTCAGAAATTCAGGGCGATTGCACACTTTATTCTCTATCACAGGGAAGCCAGTTTCTTTAAGTTTACCTTCTCCACCAGTACCTTTGTGAGTAAACAACAAAATAAGTATAAATTGCATAGATTCATCGCAGAGGCAGTATGATCCCCTGGATAGGGTGTTGGCCTGGGAATCAGGAAACCTGGCTTCTGTTCCTGGCTCTGCCACTGACTCACTGTGGGCCTGATCCAAAGCCCGTTCAAGTCAATGGGAGTCTTTGCCCAAGTCACTTAACTTCTCTGAGCCTCATTTCCCCCATCTATAAAATGGGGATAATCCTGATTATTTTCCTTTGTAAAGTGCTTTGAAATCAATAAATAAAAAGCAGCAGTCGATACTCTGTTAGTATTGACATAGATTCTTTAGTATTGACAGGATTTGATTAGGGTGAAATAGCAGCACAGCTGATTCAGCAAAAAAGATGAAGAAATTAGCTTGGATTTATTTTAAATCTAATTCAAGTCTGTTAAACCTCAGAGTGGGAAAATCTGCAATGCTCAAAACACCTGGAAGCCAGTGTGATGTTGGGATATGACATTTCAAATATGCATTTACCCACCTGCAAGATGCCACAGACCACCCTGAGGCCAAAGAAACCCACAGTTGAGAGCAGGAGTCTGATAGACCGTTTGCTTGAAACATCATAAAGACATAGGTCCCAACCACTGTGGAGACTGGGAATGCTGAGTACAGACACGCCTCTCATCTTGAAGAAGATGGGTTTTTAAGAGGAGGGTCTTAAAGTGAGAGTGGTGGTCTGGCAAACAGGTATGTGAAGGACATTTCTTACGTAGGGGCGAAGATGGAAAAATGTGCACAGATGGGAGTGGGAATCAAATGGGGGTATTGTCATTATTATGAACCATGTGTACTGGCTAAGGACCAACCAAGAATAGGCCCCAATGTGCTAGGCACTGTACACGCACAAAGTAGCTGATCGTCCCGGAACAGCTTGCGTCCTAAACAGACAGGACAGACACAGGATGGGGGAATGGCATCACAGGTGTAACTGAGGGGATAAAGAGGTTGGAATAGGAGGCAACGTTCTAGTCAGGCAGGGCAATGTGGCAGATTTTGAAAGTGTGGACAAGAAGTCGCCTTCTGAGTAAGGATTGGAGTCTTTGTGAGAAAGTCATTCAAGAGAATGACCTAAGTCAACATCATGCAGTTTAGAGTAGGGGCAAGGCTAGAAAAATATCCCTCCTGACTGTGCAGAAACCCAAGCTGGGGCAACAGACAGGAGGATAAAGAGGGAAAGCGTTGACAGATTGTTAGGTCTGATTCTCCTCTCACTTTATACTGCTTTTATAAAGGTGTAACTCCATCGATTTCAATGGAGCACTCCTGAATTGTGAGAATCAAACTCAGAGAGAGAGGGAGATGGAAAGAATGACACTGCTAAATGATATTTGCTGTATGGTAAATACTGATGTATATTGATTTGTTTTTTCGAGCACAGAGGGTGCACACATTTGGGGTTTGCATTGATCTTTCAACTGCACTGAATGTGCCTCACCTTTTGTTTCTCCCCAGCCAGTCACATAGCATTCTGCTCTGTTTCCTAACATCACATTTTCTGAAGGCAAACAAGCTGGGATCACTTCATTGTTGATCACTGCAGGACTGAAACAAAACAAAATGAAAACCAAATCCACAGACGCATAGCTTTAGCTGGTTTGTCTCTGATACCATTTACATTCTGAGGCTCTGGAGGGAGACTTGGTGCACCATGGGCTTGGTTTTCAGAAGTGCTGAGCACTGATCCCCAAATGAAGTCAAGGAGTATAGCCCTACAAGTATTGAAGTAGAACATTTTTTTTAAGTGAGGTGTTCTCTCAGGCCTCAAACAGCTTTCTTCTTAGGACCCTCCCACAGTGTGGTGCATGTACGGACAAGGGGAGAAGTGACGAGCAGCTGGAGAGACTTGGCAGATCCTTCTGGAGGGGAAGAAATAAAATTAAATAAATCAGAGAATTTGCCAAGCCACAGCGTGACAGATCTGATTTCAGAGGTGCCTGCTTGGATGTCTAAGCAGGATCCTGGACAGGGCTTCAGGCAAATGCAAATATACACAGGCATTTTCAGTGTATACCCCAAGAGATGCCTGACTATTATTGTATCGGGGCCCAAATGCTCAGCCCATCATTAAGTACTCAGATGGGCTGGGCACTGGGTAGTTCCACCAGAGGAAGAAATCCTCCCACCCAGTCCAAGGAGCAGCTATTGAGCGGAGGCACCCCATGGCCATTACTGCAGCCCTATCTCACCCCTTCCTCAAGATGGGAGACGATGATAGGAGCCACAAGGCAGAAGATGCTCCAGCCATACCCCTATTTCTGTTCCACTTCCACCCACCCCTCCTCTGTGGTGCTGCCACTTAGCAGAATTCCAGCCTGTGGGGAGTCAGGAAGGCACCCTCTTTTGCAATCCCCCAAATTTGTCTCCTCCCTTCCCAAAATTGTGTAACAGAATCACACTGTTTCTGTTGGCAGGGGGCCCTCCACATGCTTAGATGACAGAGCAGGGTCTGTCACATGCCTAAACATAACCATCTTGAGTCTTAACTGCCCATGTGCTAGCAATGCAACTGGACTGCTCGGGATTCAACCAAGATTCAGGTGCTGGATGCTTGGGGATCTGATTCTTTCCTTGCACCTTGTGCAATCATTGACACCTGTGTGACATGGGCATAACACCCGTCTCTTTCATCTTGGAGAGAATATCTTCTGCAGCAGAAAACAAGAAATTCATTTCTTTTTCAAGATCCACAAAACCTAGCAGGTCTCAGGCCATTTTCCAGGCATTGACAAAGAGTCAGGTTTAAATAGGATTGCTTTAGGATCCATATGAAACTCTTCTGACTAACTCAGGGGCCCTGCTTACACTTCAAATTGTGGCTTGCGTAGGTTGAAAATGGAACAGAGATTTTTCAGGATCAGACCATACCTCTGACTTCTCTCCAAGTTTTGACTCTTGATTTTAGAAATTCTAAGAAAATCTCTATTAGGCAGTAGCGGATTTAGGGTTAGTGGGGCCCTGTGCTCAGCCTCATTTTTGGGGCCCCTCCTTGGGACCCAGCCAAGAAAAAGAACATTCTCTCTTATCTCCCCCCTGCCCCCATTTGTCAATCTTTTTTTCTTCATCCTCCTCCTATAAATAATAGGAAGTAAATGAAAATAAAGTGAGGTACCTTGTTTTTGTAATCTAACATTTTTCCACAGACCACTTGAAAATCACTGAGGGTCTCGGTGGACCACTTAATGATCTTTCCAAATATTGTTTGTACCGTTAGCGAACTATTGTAAAGCACTTTGGATAAGAGCGCTTTATAAAAAAACGTAAAAAAAACCCTTTGGGTGCAGGGTCTGGCCAGGACTTAGGGTGCGGGAGGGGGCTCAGGGCTGGGGGTGCAGGGTCTGGGAGGACGTTAGGGTGCAGGAGCAGGCTGGGGTTGGGGTTCAGGGTCTGGCCAGGAGTTAGGTGCAGGAGGGGCTCAGGGCTGGGGCAGGGGGTTGGGGTGTGGAGCACTTACCTGGGGCAGCTCCCTTTTGGTGCGAGTGGTGCAGGTGGGGATGTGGGGGGGTGCAGGAGTCAGGGTGGGCAGGGGGCTGAGTGTGTGTGAGAGGGGTGCAGGAGTCAGGGCTTGGGAGTGTGTAGGGGGGTGCAGGAGTCAGGGAGGGCAGGGGCTGAGGGTGTGGAGGGGCAGGAGTGTGGGGGGGTTGCAGGAGTCAGGGAGGGCAGGAGGATGGGAGTGTGTGAGGGGCTGCAGGAGTCAGGGAAGGCAGGTGGCTGGGGGTACGTGAGGGGGTGCAGGAGTCAGGGCTGGGGGTGCAGGGTCTGGGAGGGAGTTAGGGTGCAGGAGGGGGCTCAGGGCTGGGGCAGGAGGTTGGGGTGTGGAGCACTTACCTGGGGCAGCTCCCATGTGGTGTGAGGGTGCAGGTGGGGATGTGAGAGGGGTGCAGGAGTCAGGGCAAGGAGCATTATTAAACCTCTTGGGATCCTTTTGGAATGTGTTTGACATGTAAATGTAATTTTGATTTATTTAATACAGGAATGCAACTTGAAAAATTCTGCCTGCCATATTCCTTTAAAATCTCTTTAGTCAAACCACGTAATTTAACTATGTTTCATCTTGAGAAAAGAAGCTTGATGGGGGACCTATAACAATCTTCAAATATGTTAAAGGCTGTTATAAAGAGGACAGTGATCAGTTGTTCTCCATGTCCATGGAAGATAGGACAAGGAGTATAATGGGCTTAATCTGCAGCAAGGGAGATTGAGGTAAGATATTAAGAAAAACTTTCTAACTATAAGGATAGTTAAGCTCTGGAATGGGCTTCCAAGGGATGCTGTGGAAATCCCATCATTGGAGGTTTTTAAGAACAGGTTAGACAAACACCTGTCAGGATGGTCTAGGTTTACTTGGTCCCGCCTAAGCGCAGGAGGCTGGACTAGATGATGTCTCCAGGTCTCTTCCAGTCCAACATTTCTATGATGGAAACTGGTCTGTTCTGTAGTATTTTCAGTATGCTTATCTGTCATTAATATGTATTCTGCATAGATGTAAACACATTTTTGAAGCTTGTAAGAAATGCTTAGAAATGACTTTATACACTTTGTGGTATGGGTAGCCTACTGTCACTTCCACCCCACGTATTTGTCAAATCTAAATCCAGACAAGGACACTCATGACTTCGGCCTAAAGGGCTTTAGGGGGAAAGATTTGGCTGAAACGATACCTGCGCATCTTCAGCAAGGCAATGTCTGCCCCACCAGGTTCCTTGAATATTCTCTCAACATCTCGGATTTGCACAGACGCCTCCTCTGCCCTTTCAGTGTGTAGTCCAAGGAAGATTCTGTATGAAGAAGGCCTGGATGACCTGTAAGAGGTGATTTCATATGGTGAGGTTCTATACAGATAATCAGAGCTTGCACCCCTGCTGAGTGGGGAGCAAGTCCTGGAGAACTGTAGTTGATAGGGAGCTGGGACATACTGATGATTTTTGCAAAAATCTAAGCATTAGTTATTTTTAAAATGTTTAGCTCTTATAGTTATGAAGAACTCCAGAGTCTATGACATCACTTTATGTTTTCTTCCTGAATCTGCAGATATACTGCTCCAGTGGCTCTGCTGCTGCTCAGAGCTTTCCCAAGTAGCAACAGTGGACATGTGATCAATTTCACAGCTGCTACTCAAAATCCTATGAGGGAAGGTGCATAGTGAGTACTGTGAAAATGACAATGTTTGACCAAGATACAAGCAGCAACAGAGGCAGGTAGCGGAGCTATTTACTGGGGAGGAAGACCCGAAACAAGATGTAGACATATGCTCTCCCCCTCTGCCCCAGCAACCAAGAGACTGGGAAAAGGGTAGAAGGGTGTTGACACAAACCCTCCTTATGCAGCAGCAGCCGGACAGGGGATTGATAGAGTGGTGGAGAGCCCATCTGTCTTTGCAACACCCAGAAAAGTGGGGGAGGGTAGAATGGTGCCATGGTTAGAATGAGGTGCTAGAAATAGGATGGGGGTAGCGGGAGGAGGAACTCTGGGAACTCTATCAGCAACCAGAGGAAGGTAGGCATGGGAGGGGTGGATGGGGTGCACAGATTACTACAGTGATGGGTGTGGTGTTCAAGAGCCTACATAAACAAGGGAGCATCACTTTTATCAGGCATCGACCTACCAGACACTGATATGAAGGATAGCTCCTTCAGTAAGTTCAGGAGATAGCACCCTGATATTAATCACAGCATCCTTCCTTTTAGCTGAAGCCAGGGTGGTGGGAGCGGGTAGGCTTCTCATTGGGGTGTTTTCACTGTTATTCCCACTAAATCTTTCATATTGAGCTAAAGCCAGTGGTAGGTAGAGTCCTCTAGCTAGTAGAAAATTTGTCACACTCCACATCCCAGAATATTAAAGGAACTGCCACATGAAATCTCAAGCCCAACAGCAAGTATTTTTAATGTATCTGTAAAATCAGGGGCCATACCCTATGACTGGAGAATTGCTAATATAGTTCCTATTTTTAAGAGGGGAAAAAAGTGATCCAGGAAACTACAGGCTCATTAGTTTGACCTCAATTGTACTCATGGTCTTGGAACAAATTTTGAAAGGGAAAATAGTTAAGGACATAGATGTAAAGGGTAATTGGGATAAAGTATAACATGGTTTTACAAAAGGTAGAGCTCTTTCTTTGAGAAGATAACTGATTTCTTTAGACAAAGGAAAAGCCTTAGATCTAATCTACTTGGATTTCAGTAAGGCACTTGATATACTTCCACATGGGAAATTATTAGTTAAACTGGGGAAGATGGAGATTAATATGAGAATTGAAAGGTAGATAAGGAGCTGGCTAAAGGGGAGACTACAACGGGTCATACTGAAAGGTGAACTCCAGGCTGGAGGGAGGTTACTAGTGGAATTCTTCAGGGATCAGTCTTGGGACCAATCTTAGTTAACATTTTCATTCATTACCTTGGCACAAAAAGTGGGGATGTGCTAATAAAATTTGCACATGACACAAAGTTCGGAGGTATTGCTAATACAGAGGAGGACCAGAATATCATACAAGAAGATCTGGGGGACCTTATAAACTGGAGTAATAGAAATGGGATGAAATTTAATAGTGCAAAGTGCAAGGTCATGCATTTAGGGACTAACAACAAGAATTTTTGCTATAAGCTGGAGACTTATCAGTTGAAGCGACAGAGGAGGAGAAAGATCTGGGTGTATTTGTCGATTACAGGATGATTATGAGCCGCCACTGTAATGCGGCCATGAAAAAGGCTAATGCAATCCTAGGGTGCATCAGGCGAGATAGGGGAAGTGCTATTGCCATTATACAATACACTGGTGGGACCCCATCTGTAATACTGTGTTCAGTTCTGGTTTCCCATGGTTAAGAAAGATTAATTCAAACTGGAACAGTGAAGAGAAGGGCTACTAGGATGATTAGAGGACTGGAAACCTTTCCTTACAAAAGAAGACTCAAGGAGCATGGCTTGTTTAGCCTAACCAAACAAAGGCTGGGGGAGATATGATGGCTCTCTATAAATACATCAGAGGGACAAACACCAAGGAGGGAGAGGAGTTATTTGAGTTAAGTGCCAGTGCTGACACAAGAACAAATGACTATAAACTGGCCATCAACAAGTTTAGGCTTGAAATCAGAAGAAGGTTTCTAACCATCAGAGGAATGAAGGTCTGGAACAGCTTTCCAAGGGAAGCAATGGGGGCGCAAAACCTAACCAGCTTCAAGACTGAGCTTGATAAGTTGATGGAGGGGATGTATGATGAGACTGCCTACAATGGCATGTGGCCCATCTGTGACTGCTAGTAGCAAAAATCCCCAATGGCCAGAGCTGGGGCACTAGATGGGGAGGGCTCAGAGTTATTACTGAGAATTCTTTCCCAGGAGTTTGGCCAGTGGGTTTTGCTGACATGCTCAGGGTTCAACCTATCGCTGTATTTGGGGATGGGAAGGAATTTTCCTGCAAGTCAGATTGACAGAGACTCTGGGGGGTTTTCGCCTTCCGCTGCACCATGGGGCACAGGTAGGGTGACCAGATGTCCCGATTTTATAGGGACAGTCCCGATATTTGGAGCTTTTTCTTATATAGGCACCTATTACCCCCCATCCACATCCCGATTTTTCACACTTGCTGTCTGGTCTCCCTAGGCACAGGCCACTTGCTGGTTTAAACTTGAGTAAATGGGGGATTCTCTGTAACTTGAAGTCTTTAAACCATGATTTGAGGACTTCAGTAACTCAGCCAGAGGTTCAGGGTCTATTACAGGAGAAGGTGGGTAAGGTTCTGTGGTCTGCAATGTGCAGGAGGTTAGCTTAGATTATCACAATGGTCCCTTCTGGCCTTTAGGTCTATGAGTCTATGTAATCATATTTTTGGCCATCTCTTTGTATCAGAATCTGAAAAACAAAGCAGTTCTGGTCTCAGCTGGGATTTTTCATCTATAAATGTCATCTACGTGACAGTTTGAATGCAACAATAAAACTGCAAATATTGTAACTCTTATAGCTACAGCAACCATGAAGTCAGATGACTAGATACTCTGTTTTGGATGCAGAGTTTTGCTTATTAAGGTCTCGTCAAGTATTCCACTAACATTTATTATGACATGAAGCTTTCTTTTCAGCCATCAGTGTGTCAGCTTCACAGAGCTGGGTGACTCCTCAAGATAGTAAGTTGCTCTCTTGAGATATCTGAGCATCTCTCTTGTTTATTACACATGCACAAAATCAGGGCCTGACTGTGCTGCCCTTACAGATATGAACAGGTACATTATTCAGTAAGGATCCTCACTGTTACCCTATCTCTTTCTCTCTGCTCTAACTTGAATGAACTGAGCTTGGAGATGAGAAGTAACAGAGCAGTTAACCACTGTAAGAGCCATCATGTAGGTGCAGCATTGGCTGGTTAAGAACATAAGAATGGCCCTACTGGGTCAGACCAAAGGTCCACCTAGCCCAGTATCCTGTCTTCCAACAGTGGACAGTTCCAGGTGCCCCAGAGGGAATGAACAGAACAGGTAATCATCAAGTGATCTATCCCCTGTCGCTCATTCCCAGCTTCTGGCAAAAACCAGCTTCTGGTTCAGACAGATCAAAGAAACATCTTGCCAGGCACATTTTTTTCCCCTTTGATATTCCTCTCCAGTTGTAGGAAATATCTGCAGCTGGCTACAACAGACACTTACCGTTCTAAGCAGTGTTTGGCGGTAAGAACCCACTGTGGGGCTATCAGAGTGCCACCACAAAAGTGCATGTTGAAACTGGAATAGAAAGGCATGAGATTAGTTTGAGAATGTGAAGTTAATTCTCCACTATCACAGCAATGCACAGTGAGGACTACTAGTAAACTATCAACTTTGCTTATTCAGGAGCTTTTAGGATTCCCAGATTTTATTCTACAGATCATGAGAAAGTAAATACTGATTTTCATCAAGAGCTGAGGTTTGGTTGGCTCAAAACATGAGAAAAGATAGTTGACACCTATCTTGAATTTTGAAAGATTGTCCCAATTTCAACAGGAGTGTTCTGTGTTCAGAAGAATAATCAATATTATGACCTATATTAACTAGGGCTATCAAGCGATTAAAAAAATTAATCGCTATTAATCGCATGATTAAAAAGATTAATTGCACGATTAATCGCATTGTTAAACAATAATGGAATACCATTTATTTAAATATTTTTGGATGTTTTCTATATTTTCAAATATATTCATTTCAATTACAACACAGAATACAAAGTGTATAGTGCTCACTTTACATTTATTTTTATTACAAATATTTGCACTGTAAAAACAAAAGAAATAGTATTGTTCAATTCACCTCATACAAGTATTGTAGTGCAATCTCTATCATAAAAGTTGAACTTGCAAATGTAGAATTATGTACAAAAAAACTGCATTGAAAAATAAAACAATGTAAAGCTTTAGAGCCTACAAGTCCACTCAGTCCTACTTCAGCCAATCGCTCAGACAAACAAACTTGGTTACAATTTACAGGAGATAATGCTGCCCGCTTCTAGTTTACAGTGTCACCTGAAAGTGAGAACCGGCATTTGCATGGCACTCTTGTAGCAGGCGTTGCAAGATATTTACATGCCAGATGTGCTAAAGATTCATATGTTCCTTCATCTTCAACCACCATTCCATAGGACATGCGTCCATACTGATGATGGGTTCTGCTCGATAACGATCCAAAGCAGAGCAGACCGATGCATGTTCATTTTCATCATCTAAGTCAAATGCCATCAGTAGAAGGTTGATATTCATTTTTGGTGGTTCAGGTTCTGTAGTTTCCGCATCTGAGTGTTGCTCTTTGAAGACTTCTGAAAGCATGCTCCACACCTCGTCCCTCTCAGATTTTGGACGGCATTTCTGATTCTTAAATCTTGGGTCGAGTGCTGTAGCTATTTTTAGAAATCTCACACTGGTGTCTTCTTTGCGTTTTGTCAAATCTGTTGTGAAAGTGTTCTTAAAACAAACATATGCTGGGTCATCATCCGAGACTACTATAACATGAAATATATGCAGAATACGGGTAAAACAGAGCCGGAGACATACAATTCTCCCCCAAGGAGTTCAGTCACAAATGTAATTAACGCATTATTTTTTAACAAGCATCATCAGCATGGAAGCATGTCCTCTGGAATGGAGGCCGAAGCATGAAGGGGTATACAAATGTTTAGCATATCTGGCACGTAAATACCTTGTAGTGCCGTCTACAAAAGTGCTATGCAAATGCCTGCTCTCACTTTCTGGTGACATTGTAAATAAGAAGCAGGCAGCGGTATCTCCTGTAAATGTAAACAGACTTGTTTGTCTTAGCGATTAGCTGAACAAGAAGTAGGACTGAGTGGACTTGTAGGCTCTAAAGTTTTACATAGTTTTGTTTTTGACAGCAGTTATGTAACAAAAAAAATCTACATTTGCAAGTTGCACTTTCATGATAAAGAGATTGCACTATAGTACTTGTATGAGGTGAACTGAAAAATACTGTTTCTTTTATCATTTTTACAGTGCAAATATTTGTAATAAAAATAATAATATAAAGTGAGCACTGTACACTTTGTATTTTGTGTTGTAATAGAAATCAATATATTTGAAAATGTAGAAACATCTGAAAATATTTAATACATTTCAATTGGTATTCTATTGTTTAACAGTGTGATTAATCGTGATTAATTCTTTTAATCGCGATTAATTTTTTTTTAGTTAATCGCATGAGTTAACTGCGATTAATTGACAGCCCTAATCTTAACCATTTGGTTTGTGGTGTCCTACTGGACAAATTGCAAAAGCTTGCAACCCTGCATAGCTGTGAGTAGGTGACTTGAACTATAGCAGTGATAGGCATATATCACGGATGCCAAAGTATACAATTTTCATTGTCTCAAGGACAATATTTTTTATGGTGACCAGCAGATTTTTGAGGGCATTTTCATCAGACCTTTTCTTAGCACTGCTAGATCTGTATAACCAACCACAACCAACATGACACTGAAAATGTTAGGTCATGGAGATTATGGTTTTGATGCAGCTCTGATCAAAGTCAATGGAAGTATTGTCATTGGCTCCAATGGAAACAGGACTGGATCCTGTATAAGCAGGGATGACAGAAAACCATCTCTACAAATTTTGAAGTGCTGGCTCCACCCCTGGGTCTAAATCCTGATGGCAGGATACAAATAACTCCCGTTGCGTTCAATGGGAATTATTTGTTTCCCATGTCAGTAAAATTAAAGCACATTTTGGACAAGTGGCTCAAATCTGCCCTATGTAAATGTTTAGGATGAAATAGGAGGGGTTCTAGTTAACTGAATTACATTTACTAGCTCGGGACACTCTTGTCAAGAGGAAAAAAGGTTGTGCAATATATTTTGTTTAAAAGATTTATTTCAGAGGCATTTCAGTTTGGAGGCATTTTTAAGGAGAGATCAAGACTACTCTCCAGAAGGCGTCAGCTCCACATACAGAAACATGAAGAGTTAAGTCCTTTCTGTAAAGTTGTTACTGAGGTGCCCCCAGGTAGTGAGGTGCTTTGTAAGTTGTAATGCAATGTGGAATAGTTATACCTTGTCCTGAGACTGATTTGCCAGGGCCAAGAGTGTGGATTTGAAACACACCCGCCCACAATCCTTGTAGGGCACAGCTTTGGAGCGGTCTTGGCTTTTCCACACTCATATTTGGGAGGAGCTAAAGAATGAAATGAAGTCAACCTGAAGAATTTTAAAGCAGCTGTTATACCATCCACAATATATTTAAATAAACGGGGAGAGGAAGGTTATCTTATCTTTACACCTTCTCTAGGTTGTCTCTCTTTATGAAGTGATTACACAGCAAAAACTGCAAAAACATTGTTAGGTTATTCTCCCCTGGAACAGTTAATGATGTCTGTGACCAAAATATTGCTTTCAAGATGACAACACATTGATTTACATGGCAAAGAGTTTACAGATGTATCATTTGGATATCAACAAGTCAGAAACAAAATAGGGCTAAAATTACAATAAGGGGGAAAGAAAAAAAAGAAAACACATTCCCCAAATTGCCTAAGTAAGTATCCTTCCATCTCTGACTGAGTACAGCAACCCTAAAAGCCATAACTTCTGACTGCATTTAAACTAATCTGTAGCAATGGTAAATGAAGTTCAGTCACTGTCTCTGTGTTCCCTGCCAACGGATAAGCTTTCAGAGCTGTCCCTCTTTAAAAGTGTTAGGGAAATCCAGGGCCATCCTCTCCACCGGGGTCTGATCCAGGGCATAATGGTGGGCAGCTTACGGCTGCCTCCCTGGATCACTTGCTACCAGCACCCTCTCTTCTCACAAGGTAAAGAACTGAAAATAAAAATAAAGTTTCTGCCCTTCACAGTTTCACCAGTCCTTTCTTTGCAGGAATGGTCAGGCCACAGTAGCTCACTGGGGAGTGCAGTTTACGTCCACTGTCTGCCTGCCACTTAGCTACTCTCTTTAACCTCCTCCTCCAGCCTTTGCAGGTGGGGTGGGGTGAGGCTGCCTGGGCCCAGAACAGTTCTTTAACCCCTTCTTCTCTAGTGTGGAGTTCGTATACCCCAACAGTGACCCACCACAGTAAAGCCAGTGGGGTTGGTTTACAGGTGTGGTGTGTGTATCTTGCAGAATCCCTTACTCTGCTTACCTGCTCTGTTCTGGGGTTTGGTCAGGGATACTCACCAAAGGACAAGCATCATGTGTCCATCTTACAAGAACACAGAGTGGAGAAATGATATACATTCTTGGGGCAGGGATTGTCTCTTTGTTTTATGCTTGTACAGTGCTGAACACAGTAGGCCGTGGCCTCTAGATGCTACCGTAGTACAACAACACATAATTAATTAGCTGACAGGCAATCCAGCTCCCAGCCATAGGCTGTATTTTCAAGCCCTTTTGTGTGCACATTAGGTACAGCGTAAGCACATATTTGCATATACATTAATTTAATTTTTTAAAGGTTTCCGCTAGTTTGGTTATTTTTAGGGAGAGATCTCTCAAAACCACCTGTTATTAGTTACTGTTTCAAATAAGTTGTTTTGGGAAAATGTCTGTGGTCCATGTAATATTTGCCATTACAAGCAAACCAGAGTGCTCACGTTTTTCTGAACTTTCAAAATCCTATTCCAGAGAGCTCAAAAGTTGGAGCTACATCTTGACTTCCATATGCAGTGAGACCTCCTATTTAATTCAGTGGGTCCCAGGGTTTTGATTTGCACGCAGTGTCTTGGATATGAATTATTAGCCCTTGCAAAATAAATAAATAAAATCTTTAGAAAGCATGTAGTGGGGATAGTCTCATTTCAGGTCACTGTTGTTGTGGTTATTTATTTGTATTGCAGTATGGCCTACCGGCCACTACCTCATTGTGCTAGGCACTGTACATACATAACAAAATGCCAGCCCCTACCACAAATAGCTTGCAATGTAACTGTAAGACAAAAGACAACAGGTGGATACAACAAACATGTGGGGGTGGAGAGCACAAGGTAAGAGTGAGATGATTATGCTCAGTGTGGCAAGCAGCAGTCACAGCCCACCGGCTGCCTGCGTTTTGTCAGATGCGTGTCTGCAGCTCCTGTTCATGTGTCCCAGAAGCTAGACTACGAGCCTTGCTCTTTAAATTCAATAAAAAGCTTGGAGTAAAACATGGGCCCTTCAACGCTTTCCCTTTCTTGACCCCCAAATGCCTTTCCTTTTAAGTAAACAAATTAGGGGGCTTTGCTCTTAAATATTTAGGGCCAGATGCACTCCCCAGCCACCATGAAGGGCATTTTGCCAGGGAAGGGCAGATGTAGTTTTATGTCTAGGACTGCACCCCTCCAGCAGAGGATCCCAGGGAGATGCACTAAATAAGAGTATCTCTAGGTCAACCTGGCTCAGCCTTCTCCTTGCTTGGGCCAGTTGACAGAATAGCAGTGAGAGCAACCTGCAGATTTAGAGCCTGATCCAAAACCCACTGAAGCCAATGGGAAGACTCCCATTCAAGTCAATGGGCTTTGGATCAGGCCCATACTCTGGGGTGGGGTTTAGTTACAACTGCGAATAAGAACCTCTGTGTAGTGTTTGCCCAAGATGTTTTAAGAGTGACTAGTGATGTGGGGTGCTTCAGTTTTTGGATGACTACCTCCAGCAATGACAAACAGCATATTCTGTAGAGATCAGACAATCTTGTCGCGATTATGCGCCCAGGGCCAGTGCAACCACTAGATGAACTAGGTGGCCGCCTAGGGCGCCTAGTGGTTGAGGGCGCCTAAAAGCCCGCTCAGGCTAGGAGGTGGAGTGGAGGTGACCTGGGGCGGGGGGGTGCGGGGAGGGCCGCCCACAGTAATGGGAGGCGCACAGGGGAACCGCTCCCCGCCTCAGATCACCTCCACTCTGCCTCCTCCACTGAGCACACAGCCCCCACTCTAATTCTCCTTCAATCGGTGCCGCAAGCCTTGGAGGGGAGGAGAATTAGAGCAGTGCCGGCATGCACAGCGGAGGAGGTGGAGCGGAGATGAGCTGGGGCGGGTTCCCTGGGCGGGGTTAGCTGCCGTGGAGGGGGGGTTCCCTGGGTGGGGTTAGCTGCAGGGGGGGTAGCTGCTGCAGGGGGGCCTCCCCGGGTGAGGGGGGGGGGCAGCAGGCTGGATTAGCTGCTGCGGGGGGGGGGTCCCCCGGGGGGGGGGGGCGGGGGGGGTGGTGGGGGGGGGGGGGGGCGGGGGCGACAGGTGGGGTTAGCTGGATGGGGGGTGGCGCAAGGTGAAAGTTTCGCCTAGGGCGCAAAACTTCCTTGCACTGGCCCTGTAGGCACCACTTTCTTACCTAAACTTTAGCTGATCATTACCAGCAGATGCTGTTGTCAGTTACATGGAGCTATAATTTGAAATATAAAGCTGTTGTTAAAGCCTGTCTTTTCCACTCAGATTGAAAAATAAAATTACCCATCGCAAGTGTCATAAAACATTTTCAAAAGTGTAAATGGGGGAGACAAGACTCTTTAAAGAATAATTACGGCACTTGGTGATTTCACAGTATTCCCAGGCTTTCCTCGGGTCTGTCGTATAGCACCAAGGACCATTAATATCTCCGTCAGGATTCCTGCAATACTGTAATAAATACAGAAATGAACAAAGAAACAGTAAAGCCCTGAATATTAAGAAGGGAATTTAAAAGTTATTGATTTATGCTTTTATAATATAAAACTAAACGTTGGATTTTTTCCCCCAGACACTATTTCACTGTTCTGTCGATAATCAATTATTCTCATTGCAATAAAATCCTTTGTTTTCTTTTTCTCAAAACTGTTAGATGAGTTTAGTGAAATGTCATGAAAGTAAAACTGATACAACTTTCTTCAGCCAGGCAAGCCACAAATAGCAGAGACAGCCTGAAACGCCAATTGCTCCTATGGACTCAAGGGTACAACAAACATAAGATGGGACTTTCCTACAGCGCACAGTGTTGGCCTAACTCTGTTACCACTGAAGTCAATCAGAGTGGTTAAGCCAATGCTAAGCACATTTCCAAATCCCACTTTGTTTTTAAGATCTTGAGGAGATGGCAAAGAGCATCTGTTTTGAGGTTTGCAAAGGACCCCGTATGTCATGGGGCCAGGCAGGTACAGTGGAAGCTTCTCTTACATAGCTTGCCAATGCACATCAAACCCAACCTGCATATCAATGCTTAAATACCGCAGTGCTAAGAAATGTCTAAATGTTTCCTCTCCTCTCCACCATTTGTGTCAGTTGTGAGCTGCCCCCTGAGAAGGCTGCCAAATCTGCTGAATTCTCTTGTGGGTTTTTTCGTGAATAAACATACCCCATATCATTAGCATATGTTTATTTACACAGGCTTTTTCCTGAGTTAATACTTAGGAGGGAGGGAATTGCTTTGGATGTGGGGTGGGAGCTAGAGTCTTTTCTATTGGGAAGGTGCTATGGTGTAAGATGTAATTGATTTTATCTGCACTCAGAATTTTATCTCAATGCATTTGAAAAAAGAACTATGTCAAACAGGCTCTCGCCCCAAATTCAGCCTAGGGCATTAACCAGTTATGCCACCTAGCCACAGCGTAGGGGCAAATCCATCTCCCTGGGCTCAATCTGAAATTCTGGGCCAGGTGCTGGGGATTTGTGCAGGTGGTAGGAAGGGGAATGAATCTTTCTCCAAATACCAAGGAATGACCATAGCATAGCCCATGTGATTCCCTCTCTGAGGAATACACATTTCATATCAAATTAGTGAATTATGTTTGGATGCATCCGTTAACCTTTCCCAAAATCAACCCCCACCCAAATGCAATGGATAGTTCTGATAAATATGCCCTAATTTCAGTACATGAAAGAAAAGCACTTCTGCTGTAGATTACAAACATAACAAAAACAAACAACGGGGCCTAATCCTGCAAAAGCGTACTCATGCAAGTAGACTTGACTGGTACTTGCAGATCCATTAATGTCAAGGGGACTATCAAAGCTGCCAAGATTTGGGTTTCTCCAGGTGCAGCATTTCTTATGGATGAATGAGAGTGCAGAATTCCAACTCTAAAAGTTCAGAAATCAGGAGAATTCTTTTTAAAGCTATTGTTGTCAGTGTTTCTTTTGAGTTCTGAACTTCCCCTGGGGTGTGTGGCAGTTAGAGTGTTGCCAGCTCCCCCACAGGGGCTGTCCATAAATTACATAACACATTAGGGGATGGGTTGGTCCTCAATTGTGCATGTTTGTTTTGGTGTTCCAAGAGGTCTTGAAAAATCACCAAACAGCATGTTACGTAATTTATAGGCAGCCCCAAACATGCAGAGCACAGTGAGCTGGCCCAGATGCAGGCGCTCTCGCTGGCTGGAATCTCTACACCATCCAGCAGCTTCTTCCCAGACCCCAACATTCTAACTCTCTACCCCACCAGCCCAGCAATTACTTAGACACCTCCTAATCCCCACATCAGTTTTGCTGCCATACAGCCCCATATCTGCCCAAAGCCCAATAAATTATGCACCCCAGCCCCCTACATCTCCCCCTCGCCTCTCAGAGCACCTCTGCTCCTCCTGCAGCTCCACAGGTTCTTCATTCCCCCTTCCCATATGAGGTGTTGGAGGGTGCAGAGGGGAAGGGGGAGGGAGACGGCAGACGGACCCATTGCTCCCAGAACGGGAGGAAGAGGAGGGAGCAGAGCCATCCTGAGCTCTGCTGGGCTTTTTCTGCTCCTTCCTCCTGTGAAAATGGTGTCAGCAGTTCCCTTTACCCGCTCGGTTTACCTCAAAACCAATGGGGAGGGAGAGCGCAGCCTGCTGCAGCCCTGCTCCACCCCAGGAGGCAGGGAAGTGGGGCAGGCAGCCAATCAGAGGGAGTTTATTTCCCCCCCCCCGTAGGGTTTGGGGACTGGAATTTCTCACATCATTGGGAGTCTGTCTCCAGCGGAGGCCAAAACCACATTACTGAGGATGAAATGGAGGGAACTGGCAATGCTAAGAGTGCCCCCCGTGCCCCACACACACCCTGCTGCAAGCCATGGCAGGGGTAGGATATGGAACCACACAAAACTCGGCAGCTGTTGGGTGCAGGGGGGAGTGTCAGGGTAGCTAGAGGGGCGCTGGGGTAGGAGGGTGGTTGTGGGGTGGCTGTGTCCTGGAATGGGTCAGAGATGCTGTCTAGAGGGGTGTTTGAGGAGTGTGCTGTGGCTGGAGAAGCCTGGAACCAGTCTTGTGTCCTCCCCTTCTGTCCTGGCTGCTTCTGCTACCACAAACTGCTCCGTCCAGCAGGGGAGGCTACCCGCAGATCTGTTCACTTGAATAAGAGTTTCTACATGATCAGGTTCTTAGTTTGTCCTGAGAAAAGTAAATTAAAGTAAGAAGCAACAGAGGCTCCTGTGGCACCTTTAAGACTAACAGAAGACTCTGTTGCTTTTTACAGATTCAGACTGACACGGCTACCCCTCTGATACTAAAGTAAGAAGAGTTCTTCCGTGTTCCACAAACATGTCAGAGCAGAAAGAGTGACTGCTCAACAGCAGGAAGCATTGTCAGAACCGCTGCTTACGTTTTTCTCCAGCCCTGCCCGTGGATGAGTCACTGGCGTGAAATAATCATGGCTGTGAGGTTTCTGTGAACTCCATTCTTGACAAGTCTTGCCACTTGCAGTGGTTGCTCTTGTGCCACGATAGTCCATACCGTTGCCAACTACACAGTCTGTAACTAGGAGAGAAAACAAGAGGGTGATTTTTTGCTGTGCATCACTTGGCCAAATTCAGAGGTTATGTGCTTTTGGTACTTACATGCCCTGTGGTGTAGCAGAAAAAGAAACTAGCAGGATGGTATGAGAAAGTATGAGATAGCATAGGCTAGGATATTGCTGGAGATGGACAAAATACTGATAATGAAAATGTTGTTTGTTTTTTGTCAAAATGTGTGTTGGGAATTCACAAAATGTGTGAATTTAGAGCAATTTTATGAAATTCCAATTTTATTTCATAAAATGTCAGGCCAAATATCTTCTACAATCGGATTAGGAAAACACAATTGAAAAAGCTCCCATTACACCAAGTTCCTTGCTTGGTTTGTGTCACCGGGGCACTCTCAGCAGAACCGCAGGTTTCAGAGTTAACAATTAATGAAGATGAATGGGGCAGTTCACACTTCTCTGAGCTACAGTTTCAGGCTCTCTGAAAACGTATGCAGACATCATGCATCACTTACACTGGGGCCACATCTTGAAGCCTTTCCTGGCAGCCCTGAGTGTTAGAATATTTTTTAAAGGAAAGGTTAGATACAGATGACCTCACATAACTCTAGGAGTCGGCCTCAGGGATGTGTCTGAAGCACTAATGCGTACGGGCTTGATGGTGCAAGTTGTTAAGGTTTGGCTTCAATGGGACTGCTCACATGCTTAAAATTAAGTACCTACTTAAACATTTTGATGAATGGAAGCCATATTAAATGCTATAGGACTTTGACATAATGATAATATTTTTCTGGTTACCTGTTTGGGTGGCTGTCGTTGTACGAAGGGTTGATACCATAGTTGGCTGAGGGGGCTTTGGAAAAGTCATTTGTACATTGTCACACCGCTTCAGATTGCAGTATTCCCATCTCACAGTGGGATCAATGGTGTAACACCACGGGGCTCTATCACCATCTGGGTTTCTGCAATAGTTCTGCCTCAAGTCCCTACAAATGTAAATACAGTGTGTTCTTATTCATGCTAAGGCACTGAAAGAGTTTATGGAAACCTTCTATAAAAACAAGGTATGCATGTAGGCACTAAAGAAATTGTATATTGTGATACAGCAGGACCAGGGAGCAGTAGGAGAGTGGTAGAAGGGAAATATATAAACCCTAGGCTAATTAAGGCGTGGTTCTCTGTAGACTAGGGAGGGTTGCTACAGGTTAATTGGAGCACCTGTAGTCAATTAAGGCCCTGTCAGAAACCTAATAAACCCCCTTGCTTCAGGCAGTCATGGGGTGTGAGGAAGGAGAGAAGACTGGAATTTGGAGGTGTGTTGTTGAGACTTGAAAGACCAGAGAACTGGAGGAAGGGAGACCCTGCCTCAGCAGGACAGGGAGACTCCCTCCCCCAGCATTGAGGACTGAGGGTAACCCTACCCAAGGGGAAGAGGGTAAGAAACCTGCAGGGGTTGAGAGGGGCTGGGGCTCAGAGTGAGGAGCAAACCCAGACCCCTCCCCTTCTTCCCTCCTCTCCCACCTTCCCAGGCCACTTAACAGGGTCCTTGGTGCCCCAAGAGCAGGGGCAAAGGGTGGTATCTTAGCCCCTGCCAAGAAAAGCGCAGGACCCCCCCCCCCCATACCAACATCGGCCATTTTGTCACAATATATTTATTTAACATATATAGCAGAAATTCTATTGCCATCATGTGAAAAGAAAACATCCTTTATGGCTATTATATCAGCAGAGGGCTGAAGTTCATATTGACATCATAACTGGTAACATGATCCTTTTTTATGCATGAGGAAACATAAAACAATATTTGCAGAATTTTAGCCAAAAGCTATGCCAATATCATGATTTGCTGAATAATGACTGGTGTCATAATACTATTTTTAATAAAGACAAATGTATACAATAGTAGAAAAATATGCAATTATTAAGGCCCTACTTAACTGGCGATATTGTGAAAATTGTGGATTCCACTGTATTAGGCTTCCACTGCAATTTTAACAGCAGGAGCCCCACCATGCGTGGAGCTGACAACAGGAGCCATGGCTGCCGCAGCCCGCTCTCCGCCCTGGGCCCCCGCTCTCAGCTTTGGGTGGCTGACAGTGGAAAATCATGGAAAAGAAATAATGGACTTTATTACCACAAATAATAAGGTCCATTATTACTTTTCTGCAATTTTCCATGGCTTGCCTGCAACTCAGCCACAATTTTTTGACCATAATCCTGCAAATCAAGTAGGGCCTTAGCAACTATGTATTAATAAATATTCAAACAGATCCAGAACTTTTGGTGGGGGGGAAAGGAGGGTTGCCTTTAGAAATCAAAATAAAGGATTTTTTTAAATTAAAATGAAGAAAATACCAGGTCCTTCCCTCAAAGTTCTTATGGACTAAGGCCCAGCAAACACTTTTGCATGGGAATAACTTTGTGTAAGAATAGTCCCACTGAATTTATTGGGACAACTCCCATGCATAAGCGTTTGTAATGTTGGGGCATAAAATAGAGACACTTAAAAGAACATGAAGGAGGACGAAATGGATATGGAAAAGAGGGATGAGGGTTAGATAAAAACAATGTGGGTCATATAATATGTAGTTTGCTAGTCATATAAATACTGGTATATTAATCAGAGACTGAGATGCAGCAAGAGAAGAGAAGCCAGGAGAGGCGCCAGGGTTTTTGCCGCCTAGGCGGCAGCGCTCCTCCTCTGAACATTCAGAGGGCTTGGGGTCTTCGGCGGCGGGGTTCCTTCCGCTCCGCGTCTTCGGGGCACTTTGGCAGCGGGTCTCGGAGCGAGTGAAGGACCCTCCGCCGAATTTCCGCCAAAGATCCGGAGCGGAAGGATCCCCCACCGCCGAATTTCCGCTGAGGGCAGCAAAATGCCACCCCCCAAATCCTGCCACCCTAGGCAACCGCCTAGGGTCACCTAGTGGAAACACCAGCCCTGGGAGAAGCAGATAGCACAGGAATGGAGGACACTGTGGAAAGTAAGGCCACAGAAGTGGATATTGAGTAGGTATTTGAAAGTGGAGAAGAGAGATGTGTGGCACACAGAAAAAAGGATGTATTTCCAGGCACAGGTAGCAGCATGAAAAATGGCACCAGAGGCCAGACTTGGAGGAGAAGGCAAAAGGAGCAACCAGTTGGTCAAAGTGCAGATGACAAGATGGGGTGGAATAGATGAGATGACATGTAAGCAGGGTTTCAACTAGGAGTTAGGTTGAAAGAGACAGGAACTCCATGAAAGGACTTGAGAAGACAGTAACATGTTAGAGAGCTGTGACAGGATGATTATTTAAGCTTCTTTATTTTGGACAGACTAAAGAAGGCAGAAGTGAGTGTTAAGAAGCCCAGTGAGTAGCTATTTACATTGATCTCACCACCCTTCATTCTAATTTATCAATCCAAGATGGGTTTCCTAGTTATTTATTTACTATACATAACACAGACCAGCATATTTTAGATGCCTATACACTAATGCAAGGAGTATGGGGAATAAACAGAATAACTGAAGTGTTAGTACATAAAGTAAATTATGACTTAGCTAGCAACAGAGATTTTGTGGCACAAGTCTCATGACTGGAATATTTGTACAGAGTGGTATAGCTTCTTCAAGAAGAGAAGCCAAAATAAAAAGGGAGGAGGGGTTGCATTATACATCCATAATCAGGGCCGGCGCTTCCATTTAGGCGACCGGCGCCAGGATTTGGGGGGGGGCGGCATTTTGCCGCCCTCGGCAGCAATTCGGCGGTGGGCGGTCCTTCCGCGTTCCAGGTCTTGGGCGGCAATTCTGCGGCGGGTCCTTCACTCACTCCAGGACCCGCCGCCGAAGTGCCCCAAAGACCGGGAGCACGGAAGGACCCCCCCGCCGCAGAATTGCTGGTGACGACCGGGAGCGCGGAAGGACCCCCACCTAGGGCGCCAAAAACCCTGGCGCCGCTCCTGTCCATAATATATACACTTGTTCTGCGATCCAGATGGAAGTAAGAGCCAGACCAGTGGAAAGTCTCTGGGTAAAGATAAAAGGGGAAAAATAAGGGTGATGTCATGGTAGGGGTCTACTACAGTCCACTGAATCAGGAAGAGGAGGAGGAGGAGGAGGCATTTCTAGAACAAACAACAGAATTTCCAAAATAGAAGAACTGGTAGTAATGGGGGACTTTAATTACCCAGGCATCTATTGGAAAAGTAATATGGCAGAATACTAGATTTTCAGTAAGTTCTTGGAATGTATCAGGGACAACCTTTTATTTCAGAAAGTGGAGGAAGTAACCATGGGAACAGCCATTTTACATTTGATTCTGACCAACAGGGAGGAATTGATAGTGAATCTGAAGGCAATTTGGGTGAAATTGACCATGAAGCGATAGATCTCATGATTATAAGGAAGGGAAGGAGTGAGAGAAGCCGAATAAGAACAATGGACTTTAAAAAAAGCAAACTTTAGCAAACTTAGAGAACTGGTAGGTAATGTCCCAGGGAAGAAAATCTAAAGGAAAAAGGAGTTCAGGAGAGCTGGCAGTTTCTCAAGAAGACAATATTAAAGGCAAAACTGCAAACTATCCTGATGAAAAAGAAAGTTAGGAAGAATAGCAAGAGGCCAATATGGCTCCGTCAGGAGCTCTTTAATTACCTGAAAAATCAAAAAGGAATCCTAGAAAAAGTGGAAAAATGATCAAATTTCTAAGGAGGAGTACAAAGAATAGCGTAAGCATGTAGGGACAAAAATCAGAAAGGCTACGGCACCAAATGAATTATATCTAGCAAGGGACATAAAAGGCAATAAGAGGTTCTCTAAATACATTAGGAACAGGAGAAAGATGAAGGAAAGTGTAGGTCCACTACCTAGTGGGAAAGAAAAGCTAATAAGTGATGACATCGAGAAAGCTGAAATATTTAATGCCTATTTTGCTTCAGTCTTCACTAAAAAGATTAATGGTGACCTGCTACACAACACAATTAATATTAACAACAAGGAGCAAGCCAAAATCAGGAAAGAACAGTCTAAAGACTATTTAGATAAGTTAGATGTATTCAAGTCAGCAAGGCCTGATGAAATTCATTCTAGTGTACTTCAAGAACTAGCTGAAGCAATCTTGGAACTATTAGCAATTATCTTTGAGGACTCCTGGAGGATATGTGAGGTCCCAGAGGATTGGAGAGAGACAAACATAGTACCTATTTTTGAAAAGGGGAACAAAGAGGACGTAGGATATTATAGATAAGTCAGCCTAACTTTGATACCTAGAAAGATACTGGAAAAAATTATTAAACAATCAGTTTGTCAGCATCTAGCAGATAATAGGGTTATAAAGAACAGTCAGCATGGATTTGTCAAGAACAAATCAGGTCGAACCAAACTAATTACCTTCCTTGACGGGGTTACTGACCTAGTGGATGTGTGTGTGTGTGGGGGGGGAGAAGCAGTAGATGTGATATATGATTTTAATAAGTCTTTTGACACAGTCCCATAGGACATTCTCATAAGCAAATTAGGGAAATGAGGTCTAAATAAAATTATTATTAGATGGGTGCACAACTGGTTGAGAGACCTTACTCAATGAGTAGGTTTGCTACTCAATGGTTTGCTATTAAACTGGGAGAGCATATCTAGTGGGGTCCTACAGGGATCAGTCCTGGGTCTGGTACTACACAATATTTTCATTAATGACTTGGATAATGGAGTGGAGAATATGTTTATAAAATCTGCAGATGACGCTAAATTGGGAAGGTTTTACAAGCACTTTGAAGGACAGGGTTAGAATTCAAAATGACCTTGACAAATTAGAGAATTTGTCTGAAATCAACAAGATGAAATTCAATAAAAACAAGTGCAAAGTACTTCATTTAGGAAGGAAAAATGCACAACTACAAAATGGGGAATAACTGGCTAGGTGGTAGTACTGCTGAAAAGGTTTGGGGGTGATAGTGGATCACAAATTGAATATGAGATGACAATATGCTGTAGTTGTAAAAAAGGCTAATATAATATATAACTGTTCCCAGAGAGTAGTTATCAGTGGTTCATAGTCAAGTTGGAAGGGCATATCAAGTGGGGGTCCCACAGAAATCAGTTCTGTTCAATATCTTTATCAGTGATTTAGATAATGGCATAGAGAGTACTACACTTATAACATTTGGGGACAATACCAAGCTGGGAGGGGTTGCAAGTGCTTTGGAGGATAGGATTAAAATTCAAAATGATCTGGACAAACTGGAGAAATGATCTGAAGCAAATAGGATGAAATTCAATAAGGACAAATGCAGTGTACTCCACTTAGGAAGGAACAATCAGTTGCACACATACGAAATAGGAAATGACTGCCTAGGAAGGAGTACTGCGGAAAGGGATCTGGGGGCCATAGTGGATCACAAGCTAAATATGAGTCAACAGTGTAACACTGTTGCAAAAATAAAGCAAACATCGTTCTGGGATGTATTAGCAGGAGTATTATAAGCAAGACACAAGAAGTAATTGTTCTGCTCTACTCCACATTGATTAGACCTCAATTGGAGTAGTGTGTCCAGTTCTGGGCGCCACATTTCAGGAAAGATGTGGACAAATTGGAGAAAGTCCAGAGAAGAGCAACAAAAATGATAAAAGGTCTAGAAAACATGACCTATGAGGGAAGATTGAAAAAACTGGGTTTGTTTAGTTTGGAGATAAGGAGACTGAGAGGGGACATGATAACAGTTTTCAAGTACATAAAAGGCTGTTACAAGGAAGAGGGCGATAAATTGTTCTTAACTGCTGAGGATAGGACAAGAAGCAACGGGCTTAAATTGTAGCAAGGGACGTTGAACATTAGGAAAAACTTCTTAACTGTCAGGGTAGTTAAACACTGTATATAATATTCCCAACCCCATCTCCTAATTATGACTACAGCAAGCAGTCACAAAATACATATAACTTAGCAATACGAAATACTATACATATTCCTGACCAGTATGTATTGCAACATTATTTGTGTCCATATAATTAATTTCCATTTTCTTAGATTCTCCCATACACTGTGTTCTGGAGCAGGTTTAAAGGCAACTGTCAGATTCTCAAATACATAACACAGTGCATATTTCTATGACCTACAGTGTGGTTCTGATGGCAGAATCTGGCCATAAGTCTGATTCTTGGAATATTTATGACAACTCTTAATTTCTTGAAGAGCAATTTTAAAAGAAACTATATTTACATTTAGCCCAGAATTTAAATGTCAGGAAAACAAGCTTTTTTAAAATCTTAGACCAATATAAATGTTTCAGTGTTTTAAAAAATAATAATGAAAGATGTTATTTTAAATGAAATGCATCCTCTTGCAGTGTTTGAAACCACTGCAATATTAAGATCTTGAAAGTGAAGCTGGCTTAGCTGATTTTCATTGTCCAAGTGGGAGAAACTAAAACAATTAAAGAGCTAAAATAGCAACAACTGAATTGGATTTTAAAATTCTCTCTCTCAAGGCACTCTTAGTAAATTGGTAAAGAAATTTGTTTGCAGTGTGAATTTTAACTTGACTTTAAGTGGATGGCACAATTAATAGATTTCTGGACAATTCCTACACTGATTTTGTGATAGTGGTTGAAGTAAACCTACGCATTTGGATATGCCGTTGGGGTTTTTGCGTGTTTGTGCGGAGACATTGATCTCCATGCTTGGCATTTCTTTCCTGAGATAGTCAACGAAGTTGTGCCCCGGTAAGTCAGGCCAGTGTCTTGAAAGCAATCCTCAGTGACTGGATCCTGTTGAATCACAGGTTTATCTGTAATGAACAATAAAAAACAGTGCTTCAAAAGTGAATTTTACTTTGATAAATGAGCACAGAAAAACCAAACCAAACAAATAAAAGCAATAAACAAACAAGTCCGAGTGATTAGCCTGCCTGTCACAGATACCTTCTTATGACAAGATCTCATTCAGAAGGGGCATTTCTGAGGGTGTATGGAAGATTTTAATGGGTTACCTTCATAAGTCAGATGCTGTTCCTTAGATGCAATCTCAATTTCAATGTTGTGTTGTGTTAGGCATACTTGGATTAGAGAATCATAAAGTTCAGAATGTGGATCCAAAGTTGTGGTTTTATATCAGATATATTTCTAGTGGTGGATTGACCTTGCATGGGGATGATTTCCCTTTGTTTGTACTGAAGGAGTTTGGGGTTGTTAGTTAGGATATGTAAACAAGTGGAAGTGTTTGGTTGGATTTTTCAGGGGTTGGAGTTTGGAGGCTGTTTTATCTTACATTATTGCAGCTTCTATTGATTTGTTATCGATGGACACACATCTGGTGTATGTAAACATACTTGATGGTGCCAAGCAATTTGGGTAACTGGGATCCTGTACTTGTATCATTTGTAGGGCTGGTTGACATTTTTGAGCCAAAAATTCCCACCAAAACATGGAGTTTTGTCCAAAACAATGACATTTCTCGGTTAAAAATTATTTTTAACCATTTTTTAAAACAATTGAAATGAGAAATTTTGAAACAAAAGGAAAATTTTCATTTGAGTTTTCAAAAATGGAATATTTATTGAATTTTTAATTACTATGTTTTTCTGCTTTATCTCAATTTTTTTCTTTCCTTGCCATTGAATGCAATGGATTAATGCTTTCTAGGGTTTTGTTTTTCATATTTTTCCTGTTTTTTACTTTTTCCACACTTTTAAAAATCTTCTCTGATCTTAGAAAAGATACTAAGTTCAAAAGGAAAAAGGAAACTCTGTAAGCTCACTGCTTGGTAATTTTTCCAAAGCCGAGGCAGTCAGCAGAACAATATGATCTAAAATCTTTCTTCCTCACACTGCACTTTCCCACCAGACTTAAATCCTACCCTCAACAGGTTCAACCTTCCACTAATGTTCAGATGTGGTCTGCAGAGTGTTCAGATCAAAAAATTAATAATAATATGAATAAACAATGATTTATTTGCAATTGGTACAAAAAAAGAGTGACTGTCTCCCACTATTCCTTCAACCTCCATATCCCAGGTGCATCCACTCTCCTTACCAGTGTTTACTGCTTCTGTCTCATCACAGCTGGGTATGTTACAGTATTCCCATCGTGTTGAGCTGTTGGTGGTATAACACCATGGCTTGATCTCACCGTCAGGGTTTCTACAGTAGTTTTCTTCTAAAGCCCTGAAGCAAAAGCACTATGTGAAAATTAGCTTCTCATGGAAATCTGATAATGGCCAAGAACAAGGGGGTGGGGAATGTTTCCTCACTTGTTTACAATTGTATTTATTGGTGAGTCACTACTGCAGCAAAATGTTGCTCAGTAATTACATTTATCCGCAATAAGGCAAATTACTGCAATGCATTATTGTTGTGAGTCTGGTCAGCATTCTAGGTAAGAGAGGTCCACATGCTAAGAATATGAGCAGCTTTTCTGATGCTTATGTAACCCCAGGTGACTATTACAGGTTCCCTTCTATGTTGATCCACAGAGGATATGAGTTGTTACAAACCCTAGTTTTACAGTCTGGACTCTTCAGCTCAAACTGTAGCAGCTCATGCTTTTAGCTCTGGAGGTCCCTGATATGTTGGCCAAGATAGCAGTAATCACATTGAACTGGAGACTTAAAGCATGTGCTGCTACAGATGGAGCTTAAGAGCCAAGGCTCTTTAACTGGAGGCTGTAACAACTCCTATCCTCTGTGGATCAGCACAGAGGAGAATCTGTAACACACGTTCACCAGTGGATCACACTTGTACTTCCTTCACTTGTGACACCACACCAAGAGTAGTGCAGATAAAGCACGCTATGGAACAGTATCATCACTGGGAAAAATAACTTTTCTAACACACTTATTCTACATGGAAGCACCTGGGTATGGAACACAGTAAAGGATAGATGTGAGTGGGGAAAGGAAGAATAAGAAGAGCACGAATGCCAGAGAGGAAGATTCAAGTACATGAGAATGAGAGATGAAGAGGAGGAACACAGGAAAAATCAGAGAGCAGGATCAAGTGAAGAAATTAAAGAAGAATAATGAGAGAGCTGAAATAATATGGAGAAAGGAGAACTTAGCAATATAGTTGGAGAAAAATTGTGCCAACCTTAATATTATGTCTACATCATCATGAAATAACTGTGTTCCTTGGTACTTCCAACAGGCACCAAATAATGAAGAGGTTTTACATACTTGCAGGGATAGCTCTCTGGAGTCCGGGCATGTTTGTGGGGAAACTGAGCACTCCAAAGTTGACAAGTGTTTCCTGACACAGTGACACCTATCTTGCCTCGATAATCATCTCCGTTTCCTGAAAGGCACTGACGTCCTGGGCCAGAAACTGGTGGTGGTGTAGCTATACCAGAAAAGGAAATGAATATGAACAGTGCCTTCAAGATATGTAAGCTTAACTTTGCATAATGTGGAACATGCATGTTTTTGTTTCTATACTGGTGAGGTTTCCGAAGGCTATGGCAAGACATAAGCCAAAGCACAGAGAAAACACCCAGATACTCTTCCTTGACTCTTCTCACTTAGATTTTAAGTTGCCATAAAATTTTCAAAAGGAATTAAACTTTCTAAACAGTGAATTCTATTCCGAACCCTCTGAAACATTTGGTGACAACATGATCACATTTAAGCCATCCATCCTTTCCTCCACCCTAGCTATCTCACCACAATGGAGGTGAGAAAAATGAGCTGAGGGAGGATGGCTAGGTGAGTGTGAGAGGTAGGATGGAAGAGCAGAGATTGTCAGGACAGGAGGTACTGAGGATGAGGCCCTGTGAGATATTGTAAAGAGAAGCATCACAGCAGGGAATGGGGCCTTTGGAGCTAAAACAGAAATCTGAAGGGGGAATATCAAATGGAAAGAGCGAGTCTTGGAACAAGGAGCCTGAGATGGTCTAGCAGCAGAAGGAGAATGCTGAAGAAAGGAAGATCGTTAGAACTACTCAGACACCTGCCTTTCTTAATGCTTATTGCAAAAGTACCTATTAGCCACAGTCCACAAGTATTCCAAGGACAACCAGAGCACCGGGTACCTCAGAAAGGCATAAAGGAGATACCATTGGGTTGTGAGTCCACATTTATTTATTTGGTCTTTTTAACTTCAAGATGAAAATGAACATGCATTTTGACTGTACATATAATTTCCTGATGGGAGAATAAAAGATTCTAAAAGATCAACATGTTCCATAAAACTAGTTAAAATTCTAAACTCGGTATCAGTGATCTTACAGTTTCTCAACCCATTTCTTACTTTAGAGAAACCTGTCAAATATTCACCCATCATCAATAAATAGGTGTTTTAATTGATCTCTATCCAGCAAATACGTGATTCTTCATAAAGCAGTGAGAAAACCATATACTTGAGAAGACTAGGACTGGTGACAAATATAAGCCTGATCCTCGAAGTGCAATTCTGGTCTAAAAATGGCATTATGGTGCACCATATTTATTGTCTTTGTGATTTGCATGTCAAATGTGCTCAGTTTAATGGATTTTTTTTAACTGCTAGCCCTGAGCTCAGAGGTTTTGTCTTCACTAGGAAAAAAAGATGTGTTCTTAACTCGAGTTAGCTAACATAGGATAAAATCCTAGTGATGACAACACAGTTTGGCCTGTTAACTCATGTGAAAACTACAAGGTAAATCCTAGGCTTCCCCACAGTTTCCTTGACCTGCAAACTCTTGTGAAAACTACATACACCTCTACCCCGATATAACACGAATTCGGATATAACACGGTAAAGCAGTGCTCTGGGGAGGCGGGGCTGCGCACTCCGGCAGATCAAAGCAAGTTCAATATAATGCGGTTTCACCTATAACATGGTAAGATTTTTTTGGCTCCCGAGGACAGCGTTCTATCGGGGTAGAGGTGTACTTCCTTAACTTCACTAGTATTTTACCTTCTGTTAGTTAACCTGAGTTTTAAAAAAACTACCCTTTTTCCCTAGTGAAGATGCATCCTGAGAGTCAATCTGAGTTATTTCCCTCTAGTGCTATCATCAGTAATAACATTTCTGCAGGGCAAATTTGAGTTTCAGAGATAACTGTGCAAATTATGTACTCAATAAAACCTATGCAGCCCTATCACTCTCAATGCACTTACACAGGTTTAAATGATTGGAACTTAGTAAATGATTCTATTAATGATGCACCTTCCCTGGTACAGAAGGCTCTTCTTGGGATATTTGTTGATTGATTCCACCCTCCATCCTCACCCCCAACTTTTCCCTACATTTTGGTTCTAGCTTCTACCTGTTGCAACTGCCTGCAGTGGTAGCTAACTTGGGTTCCACAATCTCCATAAGTAACACTTACTGCAACGTGGAATGTTACAAAATTCCCAGCGTTTCATGGGGTTGGTAGTGAAACACCAGGGCCGAGGCTCACCATCAGGATTACGGCAGTAATTCAGCCTCAGATTCTTCTCTGGAAAGCTGAAAATTAGAAGTTTGAATTAAGAATCTAATTCACTAACGGCTGATGGTATGAATTGCCCCTCCTGTGGCACAATGAGCTTTTTGGGCACTCAGATACTGGGCTAAGGAGTGAGATATAAATTACACAGGAAAAACTATATTAAAAGAACAGTAAAGTTGCAAAGTCGACACTCAAAGTTAAGAAATGCCGGAATTAAGGTTACCTGTGCAACCTCCATTTGGGCCCCTTGTTCATATGCACTTTGGTAGTTCTGCCTAACATCATGCAGTAAGTCTATGGCAGACCAGCAATAAGAGTCCCAGTCCAGTGTCCTACCCATAAAAGAACATCCTTTCTCTTCTTGCAACCCACATTCACTGTCCATTCTGTGCACTGGATGAGACAGGGGTCTTGTACAGCAACTGGCATGTGATCATTTAATTAAATACTGTACCATGATGCATGCTTTGTTTGTCCGGTTTCCTAAGTAGCTTGCCTTTATGCAATGTATCATACTACAAAACTTTAAAAATCTGAATACATCTGCTGTAAATTGAAATTGCCCACATGCTCCACTGTGTTGTTCCCCGCTCTCAATGACCTATGTCTAGTTTTCCATTTTCCTTTTCCCCTCAACATTTTGGACTAGTTGGTGTGATTAGCTCTTCCTGATTGCACATGTGTAGGAGAAGGTGCAGGATGCTTGCCTCCCAGCCGACTGCTCAGGGTCTAGACATAATCACCATCTCTCTATTCCCTGAACACAAACACCTTTCAAGGTCAGCAGAGACAGTGATGGTGAAGGAGGTTGGGGTGAAGAGAATTGGTTTAGCATGAGGAAGGGAAGAAGATAAAAGAGAGAGAAAGAAATGAAGCATTTGCCCCAGGAGATCAAACCTTTGCTCTGTCTAGTCCTGTAGCAAACTCAGTTCTTCAGAGGAAGGAAATCCCAAAACCACCACCTATGATGACCTTGCCACCCAGCCAATGTGTTCAATGCTGTGACATTAGGGGAGATATTCCTTCCTGGCAGGTCATCTTAAAGCTGTGAAGCATACAAATCTGTTTCTCTGGTTTCCATTTTTTTAAGATCTCATAGCAGAAAACTTTCATAATACCTCATCTTTCTTCTGATATTCTGTAGGCTTGTCTGTTTCAGTATGTGTTGATTAGAGATTGTCTTTAACAAAAGGGGGAGGGTTATTTTAAAATGTTACTGTCTTTCAGATTCAACCTCTTACTTGTTCATTCTGATTCATAAGACAAGAATGAAGGGCCACCTGAGGAGGTTTCATGTCATCAGCTGTTATGTTCTATACATTAACTGAGAGTGGGGAGCACTAAAAAGATCTTAAACGTTTCAGATAAATATGGCCAAGCATTCAAGTTTTGCAAGGTGGTTATTATGGGTTTTATCAATGGTAGCATGGTCTAGTGGATAAGGCACTGGCTTGAGAGTTGAGACCTGGGTTCTACTTCTGCTCTGCTACTGAGCTGTTATGTAACCTTGGGCAAGCCACTAAGGACCTGATAGTCAGAGGTACTCAGCCCAGGGCCGGCTCCAGGCACCAGCCGAGCAAGCTGGTGCTTGGGGCGGCAGATTGTTCGAGGCGGCATTCCGCCCAATCCTAGGGCGGAACGGCCGCTTTTTTTTTTTTTTGGGGGGTGTTCCGCTCGAGCCCTGTAGGGGGTGGCGGCATGGAGGACGGGAGCGCCCTGCAGCAAGCCCGGCAGGGCAGTCCACGTCCTTCCCAGCCGACCGGAGCGGCGTGGAGCCTCCCGGCAGGCGGTACAGCAGTCGGGGACGCGTGGTAGCGCCCCGCTGAAGCCCTGGCCTCCCCACGTCTCTCTCTCTCTCCCCGCTCCCTCCCCCTTCCCCCGCTAGCCGGGGCACATCTGCAGTGCAGGGAGTCCCCCTGCACCCTGGCCCCCTGCCGCAGGGTTTTTTTTTTTTTTTTTTTTTTTTTTGGCTTGGGGCGGCCAAAAAGCCAGAGCCGGCCCTGACTCAGCCTGAACAACTCCAGTCATTGGACTCTGGACATTGAGCATCTCTGAAATCTCCGCCCTTACATTATTGGTATTGTTTGTTTCGCTATTTATTGGTATTGTTGTAGCACCTAGGAACCCTAGTAATGGACTAGGACCCCAATATGCTAGGCACTGCACAAAGAATGTCCCAAGGAGCTTACAATTTACATAGAGTATAAGATGAGACAATAAGTGGAAAGAGACAGGCAGTGGGGGCACAATAAAACAATGAGACATTTTAAAAAAAACTGTGTCTCAGTTTCCCCATCCGTAAAATGAGGACTATGATGCTTAGCAATGTAAAGGAATTTGAAATCTACAGATGAAAAGTTTGTGTGTGTATTAGGTATTATTATTGATTATTATCAGAACCAAACCTCAGAACCTTCTGAGGTTCTTCTGTCACTACTGTTTTCCCTAGCTTGAATTTCAGATAACTTGGAGTTGCCTCCAAAGAAACAGAAAGAAAAGAGAGAGGATTGATGATTTACCTTCTTCCATTGCACTGAGAGGTAGCAGATCAGCCTTTTTGTTGCCCTGGACCGAAACAGAACTTTTTGACTCCCCAACCCTCTCTTTTTAAGGGAAGGATGTTAAAAACATAGCTCCCTCACACATGAACACTCCCAAATGCTGCCTATGGTATTAGTATGGCAAACAAGCAAAACATCAAGCACATGCAAAAGTGCATTGGCTCAAATAGCCAAGGGAGAGGTTGGCCACCAAAAAACATCATCAACAAAAAACATGATCAAGTATTATCAAAATGAAAACGGAAAATTACTATGAAAAACAATCTATCTTTTTTTCCTCCTGGCTCCAGACCCCAGGGGCTATTTCCCTGGTCTTTGGTCCATCTAGCTGATCAGTTATTTCATTACTGGTTGTGACTTACTTTGAAGGGATGTACCCATGAGATTGAGGCTGTTGAGCATCCCAGTGCTGGCACTCAATCCCAGACTCTGTTTGGGAAATTTTGCCTTGGTAGTTTTCGCCACTGCAATGCATGCACGCTTCTGTATGGACAAGCAGGAGTGAAAACAAAGAAACGGGGGGGAAAGTCAAGAATAGCATTGGTCCGGAAACTTTCCCTTTGGACATGCCATCAGCTCAAGAGACCACTCTAATTTTGCCTTCTGATTGAAGAACTATTCTAAAATGGCAAGGTTCTTTCTACTGGTGGGTGACTTCACCTACTTAATTACATTTATTTTATTTGGCTTATTTGTTACACTATAGTGTATCTTTTAAAATAAAAACAATGAAAACAACAATTAAAAAACTATGATATGTCAAGAAGATTTCTAAGGAGCGGTTAGGTTGTATATATTATTGGAGAAGCTTCCTTTGCAAAGTAGCTTCCTTTAAAGAGTAATGACGTGGATAATGAAGACACTGGTTCCATGGCATGTAATATGATGACACTAAACAGCTAACATTCTCCCACTATTCCCAACAATCAGACCATGGTGAGACCAACCCTCTGGATTGATGTTCATTTGGTTTCCTGAACATAATCCATTAAGTTTCATAGATTCGACTTTGAAATCAGAAGTCAGTGGTCAGACAAGATCATCTAGTCTGACCACCTGCCCATTGCAGGCCACAGAACCTCATCCACCCACTGCTGTAATAGACCCCTAACCTCCAGCTGCGTTACTGAAGTCCTCAAATCATGGTTTAAAGACTTCAAGTTACAGAGAATCCACCATTTACTCTAGTTTAAACCTGCAAGTGACTTGTGCCCTATGCGGCAGAGGAAGTCCCACCTGGGTTCAGTAGAATGGTCTGTGTGAGTTATAGAAGGAAAATAAAGGAAGAGCCATATGTTTAGAATAGGGGAGTTGAACCAAGATTAATCTCTTGATGCACTGAGCAAAGGAACCCTAGAAGTTCATGGTGCTTATGCTCTTCAACTGAATCAAATTTTATGTAAATGCAAGATTTTCAGGGCTGGCCCATGCCACGTATCTGCATGCAATACTCCCCTAATGTCAATAGACGTTGCCTGCATGACTATGATCGTCAGGTCAATCTTTCTTTTATTTTTTTTAAATAAGCCATTTTCTAGTTAGAGGAGATCAAAAAGTATCTAAAACCAACCAAAAATTGTGATTCCTCTATATCTATTAAATATTTATACAATTTAAGCCATTCAGGGAGACGTAGGGTGACCAGATGTCCCATTTTATCGGGACAGTCCCGATTTTGGGGGCTTTTTCTTATATAGGCACCTATTACCCCCCACCCCCTGTCCTGATTTTTCACACGTGCTGTCTGGTCACCCTAGGGAGACGTCCTTTTTGTTGAGAACTTTTATGCTAAGTCCCAGCTGGATCTGAATTAAAAGCACAAATGGACCTGAAGCATAAAACTGAGATCTGTATCTGCTTTTTTAACTCCCTCAAATAGAAGTTTGTTCAGATCCAGATTTTTGGATCAGGCTTGTCTCTAATTATGAGTCCTTTCATACCATACAATGATCTGGCAAGGAGCTGTTCTAATGGAAATGTTAACTGACTCTAAAGTGGGATGCTGAAACAAAACCATTGGGAAGTGGCAAAAACCCTATTTTTTAGTTTTGGAAGTTTCCAGACAGAATTATGGCATTTTACTAAGCAAGATAACATCCAAAAACAAGGTCATACACAAACAAGGCCCTGAGTCAGTAAGGTACTTAAGCACATGCCTGATCTTAAGTAAATGAGGGGACCTATTGATATCAATGGGACTATTAACATGCTTAAAGTTAGGTATGTGCTTAAGTGCCTTGCTGAATTAAGGCCAATGGTACTAGCCATATTAACTACCACAAAAATGGGCCAGGTCCTCAGATTTGATGTCCTTAGATAGATTATGGAAGGATTGGTCTGATGATTAAAAATAGGATGTGATAATAATGCAGTACAATGATATTAATCAAGAAAAGATGTCCTCCCCAGTCACTGTCAAAGGGATATGTCCTCTGGAACACATGTACTTGTATGTTGACCTTAGGGAACTGTTCCATTACTACTGGGGCTATCCAAAAGAACAATAAGGGGCCTGATCCTGAAAGTCACTTGAGTAAAGACTACTCACCTGAGGAAGTTTTTTGCAGCTTCTGGATTAAAGTTTGCTGGCATGGTCTCAAACAAAGAGATAATGGGGTCAAGGAGCTAACATCTCCATACTTTGAAAAAAAAGCACTTGCACAATTTAACATACTTAGAGATATTGTGATGTAAAAAGATCTTTGGTGTGTGTATCCTGACCTTCACATTCTTGGATGTTACAGTAATCATATCTGGTATCAGGATCTGTTGTGTAACACCAGGGTCCTTTTCCATCCTCATCAGGATTTCTGCAGTAGTTTGCCTCTAGCCCTGCAGAGGGGGTGTTGTCAGGTGTATAGCTGAAATAAAATAAAAATATCATTACAGCAAAAGTGAAATGTCCAAATTTCTCAGGTGATTTTGGACTCTAATCATACACATGAAAGGCCAGAGAAATAGATGCTCCCTTTGGTTGCCCAGAGTTGAAATCCTTATCTGAAGAGCATTCTGTGGCTGTCATTATTAGCCTCTTCATAGCTACTGAATGTCAGTTCTTTGATGGATCTGGGGAAAGGGGGAGAGATAGCTCAGTGGTTTGAGCATTAGCTTGTTAAACCCAGGGTTGTGAGTTCAATCCTTAAGGGGGCCACTTAGGGATCTGGGGCAAAATCAGTACTTGGTCCTGCTAGTGAAGGCAGGGGGCTGGACTCAATGACCTTTCAAGATCCCTTCCAGTTCTAGGAGATATTTATTTAAAAGCCAACAGTTTCATATCTACAATTTACAGGAAATATGACAGCCTCATAATCCAAGAATGCTCTTTTACACTTGCAACGGCTTGTTGCTGTTGAACTGCCAGGGTCTGAGCTCCATCAATAACTGCTGTGTTTTTCTAACGCACATAGATAAAAAGAGCAATATTTCATATGGAACACTTTCCTAGGGAATGCAAAAAAGGACATTAACTAAATACATGAGAGTTGTCAACAACTTGAATGTGATACTAACACATCCTATGTGAATGTGAGGTTAACGGTTCGATCTTCTTGACTGCTTCTCATTTAAAGCCATAAAATATTGTCATGGGAACACGCAAGGGGTTCTCCAATAAGATGATACTTCTATCTCCTTTGCCACTTTTAGCACCCATTGAAGCAAATGGGTGAAATCCTAGCCCCATTGAAGTCAGCGAGAGCTTTGCCCTTGACTTCAAAGGAGCCAGGATTTCATCCAATGAGTGTTTTGCTTGCTTAAGGACCACCAAATTTGGCCAGAAATGCTATCTTTGAAATCATCCCTTAGGTCATTTAGTACATCCCCTTGAATCACTGCAGGATACATTTCCTAGAGGCTTAGAAATATGTCAGCCTTGAAGGTCTTTGTGAGACAAGGTAGAGATCACCGTGCTCAAGACAAGGAGGAAATGATTTCTTACCAATGAGTTTGAATGCTGAACGACTTGCTTTAATAATATACACTATGAAATTCTTTAGTACACACTTAATATGGATGGCTTGGAATAGGTTCAGAATAACATATACACAAATATGAAAAGGACATACTTAGGTATATGGGGTTTACTGTCGCTCCACTTCTGGCAGGGCACACCACTCTGAGTTTTAGATACTGTTCCTCTATAGTCCTTCCCCTTACCAGTCCTGCATTCTAAAAGATAGACTGACACAAAATACATTTTTATCTATCAGTATCATAACATCACATCTGTTTGAATTAAATAAACTACACACATGCTAATCAGCCTAAATACCCACATTCCGAAACTTCTCTACCACCACCCCCCCACAAAAAACCCCTTAGTTGTGCTATTGTAAAGCTCTTTAAAATAGGTTAGTTTGCAAATTTTAATGACTTACATAAAGAAAGTCACTTGAATGTTTACGTAAAGACCAAAAAACTAAAATGTTTAGGGAAACAGATATAACAAATTATGGTTATTTTTGAAGGGTGGGTTCAGATTACAACAGCTATAATGCTCCCTTCTTGAGACTGGAATAAAACATTATTGTTCTTATTGCCTCTGTGTTTGTGTTGCGCTGCTATGAGTAAAACTGTACAAAATATTTTCAACAAAACCTAAAAGCATGTGAAACTCACCTGATTTCAGGCAGAGTGGGCCCCAGAAAGAATCACAGATCTAAACATGCCTGAACTTTGGAGATTCAAAAGGTGGAATTTTGTAACTCAGACCTATTCAAGTTTGGGTTTTGTTACACACAGTAAACATAGACAATGTGTTTCACTGAGATCCCCCTGCTCATGAATGAAACTTGACTCATTTACGGAATTATGTTGAAACCATGACTCACCACTGCACAGGATGAAGCTGGATGGGTCTGATAGAGCTAAACTTTGAATTTTGGGCAGTGCTGGCCTTTGTGGAACTGGCCTAATTGTGTGAAAGCCTGGCTTTATAGAAATAAATGGGAGTTTTGACACTGATTTCAGTGGGGCCAGGATGTCACCCTAGCTATATCATTTCCTTATGAAGATAGCCTTGAAGATGTAAAATGACCAGTAGCTCTGAAAGCCTAAGTTATCAGTGATTTGTCCAGTCCCTTCGCAGTCATCCAAGACTGGCCTTTGGGGTCTGGAAAAACCATGCCCAAATCAAGGAACCTATGACTAAGACTACAGAGCAGTTGACAGCTGTAGGGCTCAGTGCTGACCAGGCTACTGCTAATGGAACTAGGGCTGCCTATGGATTGGGCATCTGAAATTGCAGATGTTGAACAACAGCATCTCTGATTGACTCTTCACAACCGTGCCCATTTGCAGTGACACACAGCATGCACTTAAACTCCATTCCTATCCGGTGGTCACCATTGAAAAGCAACATTTATCATACTGCAGTCTTTCTTATTTCCTGGTGCCAGGTTGGTCCCAAGGTGCAAATTAGTGCAACTTTGAGGCTTACAAATTCTTCATTTTATGAGCTAATAATGGTGAGTGTCATTTTGGTTCATTTATGAATCATTCTAGCCCAGTTTCCTGTACAGGTTTGTGGTAGATAATCACTACTGGCATGCTCTTGTCTAAACAGACTTACTACAAGTGTCACCAAGCGTTCTAATACAATCCTGCTCCACTTGTATTACGCGACCTCCATTAAGCAACCAATTTTTGACAGTTCCTTGTTTGGTCATTTAGGACAGGTTTTACTCAGTATTTGTTTTTAGAGGATCTGGAATAGGCCTAGGTGGTGATTTTTTTTTCCAGGGGACTTCTGGCATCCTTTGTTTCTCCTCCCCATCCACCCATTCCCCATGCACAAGCACACATGTCAATGCTCAGTGTCTCCCCTGCTCCTGGTAAGCTGAGAAGGGCTGGGTTTCATCAGGTTGGTTTCAGTGTTTTTAAACATTGGCTATGGAGAATTTTTGTTGTTTCTCAGTTTTGCTTCAAACTTTCTCAACATAACCTACACCAAAACTACCGTAGGAGCAAAATTATCCTTTTACATACATCAGTGTAAATCTGGAGTAACTCAATTGACATAAAATTGATTTACCTAGGTACAGTAAGAGGAGAATTAGGCTTACTGCTTGTTTATGGATGGGGGCGTCCAGATTTTCCTAAAATTGAGAGGTATTTGGATCTAGGGTTCTGATTCAGGCCTATTTCTAATCTGGCCAGACTATACTTATGGATAAATAGGCAGTCTACCATAGAATTTTTAGCTGGGAACTTTTTGTATACCCTAAGAAGTTTTGCAATGTGTTCACGTTCAAAAATCTGAAGAAATGAACACTGAAGCAGTCAAGTGCTGACACGAACTCTTTTTGTTTGAATAAACTTCGGACCGTTTATATAACCTTTAAGTTTTTTCCATCTGCTAACAAATAACCAACTTTGAACCCTAAACTCAAGCCCATGTTCATTTGGGTTAACAATTTACAAATTGATATGTCCAAATACGGCCTTTAATTCCCATCCCTCTTTCCATAACACAAACTAAATTAGCTTCTGTGTTTTATAGCATGTTTGATGGGGAAGTTCTGGAAAATAACTGCACATTTTTTCCTATCAAACACTATCTGTGGCTGTGAACGATAAGATAAAGAAGGGTAATCAAATCTCATTTTTGAGGGTGTAAGATGACCTCTTGTGGACAAAAGGGAAGAGTTGTTCATTCCATCTACAGCACTGCATAATCATTTAGATGCCTAATGGGAAATGTTCACTTTCCTTTGACACATTAGGCTATTAGTGACTGCCAGAGGCAGCACAGTAGACTACACGAATCAATGATTTGAGCCGGTTAGGCAAATTCTTCATTCCTATTTCCTGTTCTGTAACAACATATTCAGACAACATGATTTTATCTTTAGGATTGATACAATATGCTTTAAAACTCTGTGACAATAATAGGGTGAATTACAGAGGAACACAGCTCAATACTCAGTCGGCTACAGTAAGACCTCCTATCTCACTGAACCAGATGTATTGCACTGTTCTAAACTGTCCTTTAGCAGGGAGTTTCACAGCTTCATGCATAACAGTCAGAGCTCCTTCATGCCTTATGAAAGAAAGAAGCCTATTGGCAACTGGATTGGCTCTTTTAGTGTAGTTAGTACAAATTAAAATAAAGGAATGACTAAATCAAGAGTTGACAACTCCCTTGATTTTAGCACTAATCTTATGATATTAGGATTTTATTGAAAGCCCCAGCTCCTGGAAGCAAGTGATTAGATGAGAATTTCAGCTTTCAAATAAAAAATAAAGCAAATCTGTAGCCTTCATGGTTGCAGATAAGAGCTGGAAAATGTGACCTTAGTGCACTCCAATGGCTCAAAAGCCAGAAGGAAAATAAAAAGTCCCCCACTTTTTTTTTTAAATATCTCATGGTTTTTAAGCCAATCTTGTGATTTTTGTAGCTTGACTCATCGTTTTTGAATGCTTGGGGTTGGCAATTCTGATATATTTATTGATTGTTTAACAGGAAACCAACCCCAAGATCCATGGCTGAGATTTTCAAAGGATCCTAAGAGAGTTGGATGTCCAAATCCCATTGAGTTTAAATGGGATTTGGGCACCAAACTCCTTTAGAAGCCTTTGAAAATCCCAGTCTGCATGTGGTAGGATCGTCACCCATCCTTATATTTGCTGGATAGTTCTGATTTTGACAGTGTCCCAAACACATTTTCAGGATTGGCATGTCATGTTTGGCATCAATGCATCACGAGTTAATGACATAAGAGTTACAATGTTGTGGTGTTATGGGACAGATTCTGATCTCAGTGATGCATTGGCCTTTCTCTGGATTTACAGCAGTGTAAACCAGAATAAGAATCTGGCCCTCTCATTACAGTATTTATATTGTGTCAATTGGAATATTTAATTACTTATAAGTGAAGAATTAATTTCATCTTACTTCATCACTTGCTCATGTGTCCATTGATTTTTCATATTTATAACAAAAACTATACAGGGCCAACTTTTAAGGCCTTGCTCAGTTTTTACTCAATCCTTACTCAAAGGAAACTCCCACTGTCTTCTGGCTATAATAGAATATCCCATATTGAAATGTTAAGTAAGGACATTTACTAAGTCCACTATTCTTAAACTTATTTTAAATTTACCCCAGAAGTGATGTGGCTCAAAACTTTTGAGTATGGCTTTTAATACCAATGACTTATTAAGTCAATTTTCTATGAGGAATGTGTGAAAAAAGAAAGCAGCAGGGAGTTGTATATGCACTATACATCTAGAAGCTCTAGCTATTGGGTTTGGGTTGGAGTCAGAGGGCCAATATTCTGTTGATGCAAATAACTCTGGTGGCGTTTTGGCTATTTACACCAACTAAGAACTGTAACCTGTAACATTTAAGAGACAGATGGTGAGTTAATAAAGCTTGTTATTTTTCTAAATTTTTAAGAGATTATGGTAATTCAACTGAGTTAAACTGCAAAAGCAGGACAGCTAATTCCAAAGTCAGAGAAATTTTACTTACCTCAACTCTGAAGGCAGATATCAAGTTACAGGTATTACATCATCAAAACAAAATCTCCTTGGTTGATCATAAACTGGAGATATGACATTTATCTAGCAACTTTTGAAGCTACTGGCTTCTACAAATTAACTTCTTTCTTGGTGTCCTACACATTACACTATATTGTCCTGTATGTGTTCCAGGACATGAATGTGAGAACTAGGATGAAGTTTGATGAAGCTCATTGATGTTTAACTTCCAGTTTTGGGGGTGTCTGGGCCAGATCCACAGCTGAAGTCAATGAAATCAGTGGAAATATGCTAATTTATACCAGTTTAGAATCTGGTCCATTGTGTTTTCCTTATAAAACCTTATAGAATAAATGAGACCTGCTTCATGGCTGTCTGCAGCTTAGTATTTCAGCATATTTTTCAAACTCATCAAAATTTTAAAAAAACATGAAAAAGCCTTACTGGTAATTACAGCCTCGTTTAACACAGGTCAATATAAACACTACACGGTATGCTAGCCAGACAGTTACCCTAGGTGTTTGAATGATTAGCAAATGACACCTTTTTTTCCCCCAAGAACTCTCACTTCAGTCAACTGATGTTACTATGTAATTTTTCTTCCTTTGGAACTTGTAGAAGTGGTCACATTTAAAAGTGGAAATTTATTTTTCCCACTGCCTACTGTCTTTTCAAGGCTTGACTATAATTTTACTTCAAGGGGAGAATTAAGGAATCCAAAAATAGTCTTAAACCCAACCACTTGTCTGAGCATGCTATAAGCCTAGAATAGAGATTTTAAAAGGGAGCTTATCAAAAACATGGATATTTTATATTTTCTTATCGAGGGATTCATTGTTTATAGACAGAATCAGAAGCAGATTACTGTTTTGTGGGGCCCTGAGCCAGAGCAAGTGGGGGCCCCTCCCTCCCCTTCCACCTGCAGTCGCACCCTCCTTCACCCCGCGCTCCTGCCAGGGAGTGGGGTGGGAGTGCGCCCTGCCCACCCAGCACTCCTGCTGAGACTAGAGTCACTCCCCAGCAGGAGCGTTGGGTGGGCAGAGTGGGTTGGGGCACCTGTTTTTCCAGGAGGCCCCAATTGGCTGGGGCCCCTGGGCACAGGCCCCACTGGCCCAATGGCTAATTCGCCACTGGATAGAATATGAGATCAAATGCTTCTTCTGTTGAATCATCCCTGATTTTCTGGGACATATTTAAACCACATAAACTCAAAATTAAGGGACTGAAAATAAAATATATAAATAGGAAACCCAGTAGGGTTGAAAACTCACATGATAATAGATTCCACCAGACCCATTAAGCAGAGTGCTGCAAACACTTATCAGTGGAGAAATGTATCACTTTTTTTTTTTTTGGTTGAAGCATGTTCAATATGTGTGATCCCAAAAACATAAAATGCTTGGGACTAGATGGTGGGTTAGAAATGCATCTACATCCTTTCCCTTCAAGGAGGCTGGTTTGAATCCAGCCCAAGTTGGGTGTATTACCTTCTGAGGACTGTTCAAAGGCCTATATGGAATTACTTTAGTGTTTTCAGTCCATTTCCCTGCATCTATCTCACAGAAATCATCACCACCATAAATGACAGTAAACTAACAACTTCAGAAAAGTGGTCAAGGATATATTTCTGTCAGGTGAGCATATATTAAAGAAGTATTATCAAAATATATACATACTTCTCTTCTCAAAGAGCACTACATCTGTTCGTCTAACCAACTCCGATGTTTTGGTGTTCTCAGCCAATGTAGTACACTGTTGATCTTTATTGGTGAATAGAAAGGCCCTGTTGAAATTGAGAGGGGAAAGCAGTGGAAGAAACAGTCATTAATGTTATTTAAATTATTGTCTTAGTGCCTCCTCGCGCCCCCCCCCCCGCCCCAGCCCCAGCTTACCTGCTGCCTCCCTGTTTCAGGCTTCCTGCGAACATTTGATTCGCGGGAAGCAGGGGAGGGGGAGAAGGAGGGGGGCGGAGCGTTCAGGGGAGGGGGCGGAGTTGGGGCGGGGACTTTGGGGAAGGGGCGGAGTTGGGGCGGGGCTAGGGGTGGAGTTGGGGCGGGGCCCCGTGGAGTGTCCTCCTTTTTTTTTTATTAAAATATGGTAACCCTAATGTTGAGTCCATTCCTGTAGTATTTTTAACTCATGCAACTTTCTTCTCCTGGGTCCCCCCCATGCTAATCAGCACACGTTGTTGATTTAAAAGTATTTATACAAAGAAGTCCCATTGGTCTAAAAACCAGGCTTGATCAAGGGCTCAAAGGCACAGGGGCTTCATACTGCTCCAGCAGCAAAATTCCCATAAACTTCAGTGATGCAGGATCAGGTCCCACAGGCAGAGTTCATGGCTGCAGCCCTGACTTCCACACCTGGCAATCAGGAGGCTGAGGGATGATATTGTGTATGTAGAGGTCCCAGCAGTTACCCCTCTACAAAAGATTCATGTATATTTTTAACTTTTCTTTAAGGAACTTGGTCCAAATCTCTCTCTTGCCTTTCCTCGGTGAGAGCTCCAGGAGTGTTGCTGAAGTTCTGCATCCTCTGCATAGCTTACTGGGAGGGAAGGGGGTGTGGGGGGGTTCACAGAGGATGGGTGATGATTCATTTGCATGAAAATAGTAGCTGGAGCCTGGCAGTGACTTCTGTGCTCCTGTTTGGTAGCATCCCTTTAAAATGAATATTGTTTCTTGGTGGATCTTTGCCATCTTTAAAACTTTCAGTAGATTTTAAATTGATTGCCAAGCTATAAACCACTTTAAAAACTCAGCACCAGATCACCTATGGCTCAAATGGGGGGAGGGGAATCGGAAGGGCAGAAAATTCCATTAGATTCACCTCTGGAGTTTTCAAAGAAGCATCATTTGGAAGAGAAAGGGTTGGGGACCCCTGGAGTTTAGAGAGGAAGGCCTCCCAGCCCCACGGATGGACAGGACCTGGTGTGAAGGGACCCTCCCTTTACAGTGCAGGCTTCTCCCTTTGCACTGCTCCACCGGCCCCCTTCCCTCAGGCAGCATGCTGGGCTCTGCAGTTAATGTTGCTGCAAGGAACGATAACTGTCAGTAGAATATCCAGTCAGATATATGGCGACTGAGTAGGGGACAGTGCTACAGGTTGGCCTGTTCCCTACTCCATCACCTCCAATGCCCCAAAATCCCACAAAGACTCTTACTCATAGGACCTCCACAGGGAAGCAAGGAGGGGAGGTGGGGCCATTCCCTCCCTCCCAGGGAGGCAAGAGAAGATCTAGTCCACACACATTAGTGCAGGGGACCCTCTGGCTCATGGTGCAGAATAAGAATGTGACAGACCCAACAAGTTCTGCTGCTGATGTCCTGTTTTCTGATCAGCGCATTTCTTATAGGCCTATGTATGGCAAAGGGTCTGAAGGCACCTGTGTGTTAGATTGTTTGTCAGGAGGGTTTGTGCATCAAGATACCAAGTTTTTTTCCAACACGTATGCTGAAATTAAAAACACCATCTTCGTGGTCTCTCCTTCCATATTGTCTCTTTTCACCCACATCTCCCAGGTATTGACTTTCTGGGCATTTTTTCCTTTCCTCGCAAACTTCAGAATAAACTTACTCCTGAGGAACACCTTTAGAAAGCTTCCTGAACATATAAAGCAGAATACTCAGTTGGTCACAATGGAATATAGCTGTGGGACACAACAGAAATTACCTGCATGTGAATTTTGTTTCAGCTTCACATTTCTCAGCACATTCTTCTTTACGGTTTGTTTTGTAAATCTGTTTTGTTTGACCAACTATCCAAGCACCCTCCGTTTTTACATAGTTGTCTAGTATGTCTCCTTGTGCTAAAAGAAAACAAAAAAAAGGAGCGGTGATTAAAAAGTGAGACTTCTGCAGTTCATATAATTTATTCTTTTAAATTGCATTTTCTGTCACACATTGGCAAGTGACGCTGCCATTTAATTTGTGTGCATTTGAGCTAATGGTAACACACCCTGAATAAGCTCCATTCTCCTGGCACTGTAAAGGTTGGCATCACTGGACACAAAGACAGAGCAGAAGTGCTTTGACGATGAGAACAAGTCATTTGATGCATAGGGAATGGGAAGCAGGCAGAGAGACCCAAAGGGGTGAGGAAGCGAAACGGAGTGAATCAGAATCAAGGGAGATGATTTTGGAAACAGTATTTTGGAGAGACTGGAAGGATGGGAGTGATGCGAAAAAATGACTCTCATTCAGTTTTATCTGTCATGTCTTCTTGGTTGTCGGTCTCCAGATGTTTTGAGTGGAAACAAGACAACCTCAGTCATCAGGCTATCACTGCAGCCAATTACAATGACCATGTTTATTGTTATAATATCTCAAGACCGGATCAGATTTAATAGTCAAACTGTCAGGTTGTGTCTTTGATTGCAATGAATTACAAAATTGTGAATTGGTAAATAAATTAATTTGGCAGTTTCTGAAAGCTAGACCTACATGTTAAATGTGTTGGATGAATATGCTAATATGTTTTACATCTGCATGAACCAATTAATGCTAAGATGTTCAATTATATTCACCCTTGTAAAGGAATTTGCTATCTAATTAACTTTCCTCTGACATCTATAAAAATTCTAAATGTCTATTCATCAGTCAGACAATTGTTTCTCTGTTGTTTTTAGCAGCAGGATTACAGAGAGCACTAATCATGTGGTTTTATCATTTCCTTTTCAAACGAGGATATTCTTGATAAATGTTTGATACTGAGAATTATTCATTCAGTGTGAAATTCACCCCTAAACAGAGAGTGACCCCAAGGCCTACACATCACTCAAATCCATTTACACCTTGTGCAGACCCCCTGCACAGGGATGAACTTCACTCTCATAGAAGTTGATTTGAATCAACACATATTGGGCCTGATTCACTGCTGCATTACTCCAGTTTTATGCCAGCGTAACTCCAATGAATTTAAGGGAGTTTTGAGAGTTCACTCCATTACATACATATATACTGTCCATATTTATATTATGCCAAATGCTTTTTGTTGCAGCTATCAAAGTAAATTTATCTCCATTGTAGTTAAGTCACACGTCAAGGGTATTGTTTTATAGGTGCCAGAGGGGGTGGCTCAGTAGTATAAGAATCCAAGCATCCAAGAAAATCTCCAACCTTTCAGAATCCCATATCTACCCCCACCTTACTGATACATCTTTGTGGCACTCTAATGGCCTGCCCTTTTCTCCGGAGCCAGCCTGGAGCCAAATGTACCTTCTCCTGGAGTTTTCATGGAAGTGCCACAGGTAACAGACACTTCTCCTCAAACCTCACAATCTGGGTATGCGGGGAACAAAGCACCTGCCTCGGCCAACCCTCTCATTGTCATACACAAGTTGTCATACACAAGTTTTACACTGGTTTAATTCCATTGATTTCAGTGAGTTACCGTACTTTCAATTTACACCAGTGTAAGTGCAGACAAAGTCAGATCCAGAGTATCAGCTATGGGAGGAAATACTCCTAGTCCTTCTGCCAGCTACTGTCCCTACTACCCATAATCCCTAGCAAAGTAGCTAGGGTCTAGTAGTTAGTGTACTAGTCTAGCATTTGGGAGACCTGGGTTCAAGTCCCTGCTCTGCTACAGTCTTCCTGTGTAACCTTCAGCACATCATTCACCTTTCTGTGCTTCCATTCCTCATGTGTAAAACGGTGTTAATAGCACTGCCCTACCCCGTTGGGGCGTTTTAAGGGCAAATACTGAAAGATTGTGAGGTACTCTGGTAACGAGGCTATATAAATACCTTAAATAGATAGCTGGAGAACGTGCTGTGGGATTCATGTACCTAGTGTCCTGTTGTATGATTATGGAGCAATAGCCGTTTATGGGCCACTTATGGTTTTGCTCATCTCTAATCTCAAATTCTGTTTTCCGAAACAGCCCCACCTCAGATATTCAATTGCTTTCTCCGATCGTACGGGAAGCATCCCCATTCTTACTCATCAGTGTCATGAATAGAAAATAACATTTGCTAATATCTTTGCACCTACAAAGCTGCTGCTCCTTTTTTTTTTTTAAACTGATTTAAATTGTGCACGAATACATTTGGAAGATGTTTATAAGCTAATTTTGGCCGAACTGCTAACTAGTAACAGACAAGAGAATATGACTTAAATTCCTTGATGAAGATAGCAAAATACAAATAAAATAACTGATCTCAAAATACAACAGGCTGTGCATTATTTTAACCTAAAGTCCTATTTGTTATAAACCCAGAAATGGCACAAGGACATTAATTAACAGGCCAGTCAAATATCTGGAAGTAAACGGATCTGTTCCAGTTATATACGTATCACTTATAAATGTTCCAGGGCTGATCCAGAATACATAACTGACTGTTTCATTGAGGTCCTGAGAGGGGTCAGTGTGGCTCACTAGTTTGGGATATGTGAGGTTGTGTTGGTAACACTGAGCAAATGTCTTTTCGGGTTTTTTTCTTTAAAGATTTTAAAAATGATAAATTAACAAGGGCTAATGACACTTCTGTTATGACAACATTTAGAGAGACAAGGTGGATGAGGTAATATCTTTTATTGGACCAACTTCTGTGGCATTGTAGGTAATCAGAGGGTTATAGATGATGCGTCCTCTGGGGATGAGGTTTCGTTTCTTGCATATGCTCAGTAAGCAGATGTCGCTCGCTGTTCAGGTCTAATTGGCAGTCCATTCTCGTGGCTTCTGCCGGTTAAGGACAAAAATGGAGAATACTGCCAGGATATTGATGTATAACTTAAGCATTGGAATAAGCAATTTTGTGAATTAATGAACAGATCCCCACCAAGATGTAAACTACAATTTAATCCAGCAATGAACCTGGCAGGCAACAGGCCAATGACATTAGAGGAAATGATGCTAGTGGTCAAATGGTCATTGTAGCAGGGTAGTCATCCTGCTCCTGCCCGGAGGGGTTGAAAGCAGCCCTGGGAGAGAGCTGGGACTGAAGGAAAAGGAAAAGCTGATTGGGGAAGCAGTCTCAGCTGGGGCCATGCCCCAATCAGGCCGCAGCTGGCCCTATAAAAGGGCTGCTAGCCAGAGCTCAGGAGTCTCTCTCTAGCTGTAGAGAGAGACAGGCCTGACAGCTTGAGAGCTGAACAGGGTACCTGAGTGGAGCAGGGCTGGGCAAAGGCTAGAGGAGCTGGGGAGCTCCAGCCTGGAAAACCCCCAGACTGCAGGTCTTGCTAAAGGCCGGAAAAGGTACAGGGGTTGCAGAAGTGCAGCCCAAGAGTAGGCAGAGGCAGCAGGTCCAAACCCTCCTTGCTGATGAGTGGCAATTACACTGCAGTCCGTCCCAGTGAGCGGGGGCTAGATGGTGACTGGCAGTAGCCAAAGACTGAGGCGAGGTGGGGATAGGGGGTAGGGGTTTCCCCAGGGAGGGGAGACCCTGAGAGACTGTGGGGTACTGCAGGGGGCAGAACCCCAAGGGAAGGGGCACCGGGGTCCAGGAGGGACGTGGGGGCCAGCGGCAAGCAGGGCATCGGCCTGAAGAGGGCGCTCCGGAGGCTGGAAAAGCTAATTCCCTGAAAGACCAGCAGGAGGCGCTGCGCTGGTGAGTCACCGCACCGCTACAGTCATGAAATGATAAAGCATCTGGTTTTGACAATATTTCATTAGAACTGAAAACGAGGCCCAGATTTAGTTCATTGGCTTCAGAGAGTCGTCTTAAAAGTTTGGGAAACTGGTCATATGCCACAAGATTGGGAAAGAAGAGCGATCAGCTTGCTCAAATTATAGAAGGGCAATGCTGCTGTCAGTCCCAAGGAAGGTGTTGATGATCAGACTACTGCACCAGCTGAAATACTGTTTCAGTCCAAAACTGAGAGACAACCAGTGTGGATTCCACACAGGTCGATCTACCGTCCATGTTATATAAGCTCTGTGGAATGCAATTGACAAATGACTCAAGTGACAAAAGGAAGTTAACATCATGTTTATAGACTTTGTAGCTTCTTTTGACTCAGGGCATTGACACTGTGGATGCTGCGGTGCCAATATGAAATGCTTGAGGACTTAGTGCGCCAAGTGGAGGAACTGTACCTCAGTGCATTTATCTATGTGAGCGTCAACGGTTGTATTACAGCCTGGGTCTCAGGACTATGCCCGGTATGTGTTCTCTCACATACATTATTTAATGTTCTAATAAATTACCTGATGACAAAGCTGACTGGGGCCAAAGCATGAGGTGTGAAATTTAAAGATTCATCTTTACAGCATCTTGAGTGTATGGCTGTATTGCCTTACTTAGAGAGACTACTGTCCAACTATGGCTAATGCTGAAAGAGCTGGAGAAAAACTCTCTCTGGAACTTAAGATCAATGGTGATCTAACCAAAGCTATGCTGTGATGGGGTGCATGAGCCCCACACTGGTGAACTACTGATTAAAGAACAGCTCTGAGTCTAGAAAGCCCCACCTAGCTACACCAACTTGGCATGGTCACATTGGAGGCTAGGCTCAAAAGGGAGAAGCTCACCTCAAGCTTGGTGGACAAAGCAAAGCAGTTGTGTGCTGCAAGCTACTGCAGAGAAGCTGCTGGGGCTCCATGTGACCAAGACCAGATTTCACTGCCAAGTGACCACAGTGTCATCACCCCACAGAAGTCATGAATGACAGGTCACAGACGATAGAGGAAGACCCTCTGGAGCACAATCAGAGAGAACTCCAGGGGGAATCCAGAAACAAACCAGTGACACTGACGGAGGAATCAAAACTGGGATAGGAAATGGCCCAAGGAACAGGTGAAAGGGTGCCCACCCTTAGGCCACATATCTGAGTATTATTCACAGGTTCTACAGCCACTGACCATTGC